TATTATATTATTCTGTTATCATTAACTCACTTCTCCATCTAATTCCAAAACAAGTCGGAGTACACCGTGAGCAGCTGGATGTTGGGGCCCAAAATTAATAGTAACATTTTTCACCTCCTTTTCAACTGGAGCTTTCTCATTATGCCAACCCGGCAGAGCCCAATGTTTGGTTGTTTCATCTGGATACATTACTGGACCTTTAAACTGTTCAAAGTATTCTGCGTCCGGGTACCATTTTGCGTTGGTTTGAGAACTGTAATTTTTTATGAAATCATTAACCGAGTATTAAATGTTATAAGTAATACAATCAAAATATTAGCATTAATTTGTCCAAGAAAATGTATTCAGGTTTGCGTTTCAAAAAAGATAATTTTCTGCTAGAATCGTCCCAAAAATCGAATATTACAACAGACTTGCAATCCACTAAATGCTTTTCCAGAAAATTGACAATGTTCTCAAGCAATGCCTCAATCGGCGACTACCCGCAACAAAACCATTTTCTCCCGCAAAAAAACATTGCAAAAAAACTTTAAGAAACTGATTATATCTCATAAAATTTTTTAATTTCCTTTTTAAAAATTCAAACTTGTTACTTTGAACATGAAATAATTAATAAACAAGTTGCCAGAAAGCTACGTTCAGAGCATCATTTTGCAGGCAATGCGATTCAAAGCCATCCCATGCGAATTAGGATTGCAGGTTCGGCTTTTTAGGATAATTTTGTCATAAACAGAGCTTCATATCGATTGATGATTTCCAAAAAAGGATTGCCACTGTACACCAAATAATATGTGTTTTTTTGTACAAATGACCCATCGATATCACAATATAAAATAATTGTAAAGAGCGATTAGCACACGGTGTTTTGCTTGAGTTTATCAACTAATAAAGGTCTAAACGTTGTTCCACCCTCAGATTAAACAAATGTTTTTATTTAAATTTTTCTATAGGAGCTAAGTACAATAGTTAATTTTATTATTTTATTCAAAATTGGGTTTTTGCCATCGTACAGAGTGCTTAAAATTTTTGCATTAACGTGACAAGCTTGTCGGTTCCTGGCGCATTCAAACAAAATTCGTTTCACACACTATTTTACGGTGCCTTAACTAGTATGCATCAAATTACAAAATTATCAAATTATATCAGATGCCAAGGTGCGTCAGTCAGGTACCAATATCTTGCTAGGGAAGATCTTACGAATTTTCATAGGAGCTCACCATCTTTTTTTTGACACCCTGTATAAGCATATAATTTATATGTAAGTCACCTCGTTTTGCTATTATTTTCAACAATTTTTTGTTTTTTTACTGCAAATTCTAAAGTCTAAAACAGGCCTGATTATTTGATTAGGACATTACAATTTTCTGATTACTTATTTTGTGTTTTATGTTGTCGAGGTCAGTTAAAGAGGCCGCCTTTTGGTAAATGGTAGCCTAAAATGCCGGTTTACTTAATGTAAAAGTAGACATAAATAGGAGGATAAGACTAGAATTCAACAACCTAGCCATTGTATAGATTTAGAAAACTCGTTGACTTCGAATGCTTCTAAATAGAGCTAATTAGCAAGAAATGCATACTACTTTTCTACAACGGCGTTAATGTAGGGTGGCAGATCTAAAATAGAATATATGCCAATATGATTTTTGTTGATCAATTATGAGCAGTTTGAACTTTCAGGTTGTTGGAGTTAATTGATACCTCATATTTGATCATATACATTTGAAGATATTTATAATCTATGCGGGCTTAGTAACGTAGTAACAGGCATTGAAACTGGACTACATATGAAACGAATGAATTCCTAATTATTGTAAACAAACTGAATAGCTGTTTTAGGTCTATTTAGGCTAAAAAAAATTACATAACACCTTATATGTTATAGAACAATTTTCTGATACCTGGTGTGAAGTAGGGCTGCTCCATTTTTCAGGAACAACCGGCTCGGCAGGTGATTAATAGTTGACCTAAAAACAGCTTGCATTTTTTATTGCTTCATAAATTAATGGAAAATGTATTTTAACAAAATGTATGTTATGATCTTGCTGCAGCGTTGTCAAGTGGGTGTAGAATCGTGTCGAAATGATTGACAGATGTTCATTTTGATGGTATTAGTAAAAATATAGAATATTAAATTAAATTGTCAAAAAGATGCAAACATGAGTTTTTAAGTTTTATTCTGGCTTTCTTGGTCTGGTACCCTTGACGCCTCTTTTATTTATTCGTCATTTTTGGCTAATGTTTTCGGCTCTACTATAATGTTCTGTTGAAGTTAGTTGTAGTTAGGATGTGAATATAGAGAGACGAAGAGACTCAATGCAAACCTACAATATAACCAATTTGATTATTTATTATTTTTGTTGTGTTTTGGCGCAATTTTCACGTAAATACACTATGTGGTCAGTTTCGTAAAGTGTAAACTACATAATATATCCTAGAATTTGGATATTTGGAGAAGGTAAAGGATATAGCAGGTAGTTATATTTACATATATTATACAATTACATACTTATACAAATATCAGTCAAATTATAATGCTGCTTATGATGATGGTTTTTCTCTTAGTCAATGGCATAAAATGTAGTACAGTTTATACGCCAAGACTAAGGAATCACGCATACACTTAAGGCATAAGATAGTCTCCAAATTTTTTACCTTAGGCCTTATTCTTCAGATGCTAGATTGATGACACAGGCATAGTGGTCTTCGTTGTTTGTTGCTAACAATTCAAAAGCAAGCGACCGCAAAAGACCTGGTAATTTCTTTTGATAATACGGGTGTCCCGTAAGCTCATGATCAAAACGGTACTGCGATATTCTTTGGACCAAAAGAAGACGATCTGACCTAACTTTTATTAACAAAAAATGTCTGGCTCCTCTGCTATTGATCGTCAAAGTTCTTCAAAAAAATTTATCTTTTTCGAAATATCGGGAGAATGGTACGATGTATTTTAGTGAAACTCGCTGTCAATTTGTTCTTATGTAAGACTCATATTTTGATGAAACAATCGAGTTCAGCCGTTTTGGACAAGTGGTGAATTCTTGAGTGTCGTGGTACAAAACTTACCAGAACTTTTTAGTTGGACGATAAAATCAACTCATTTTTTTAGGTTGATGCACTATTTTGATATGATGATTTTGATGAAATTTTTTTTTTCGCAAAACTATGAATGCTACAAGATTTTACAAACAGCACAAAATTGTGAATACATGATTAGTGCATCAACCTAAAAAAAAATGAATTGATTTCATTCTCCAATTAAAAAGTGCTGGTAGTTTTTGTACCACGACACTCAAGAATTCACCACTTGTCTAAAACGGCTGAACTCGATGGATTCATCAAAATATAAGTCCTACATAAGAACAAATTCCCAGCAAGTTTCACGAAAATACATCGTACCATTCTCCCGATATTTCAAAAAAGATAAATTTTTTGAAGAATTTTGACCATCAATAGCAGAGGAGCGAGACATTTTTTTGTTAATAAAAGTTAGGTCAGATCGTCTTCTTTTGGTCCAACGAATATCGCAGTACCTTTTTGATCATGAGTTTACAGGACACCCTGTATATTTAATTTACATAAAGCTGCAAATAGGACCTCTAATGTTATTTTACGGTTCAATGGTCTAGCTTTATATCTTACAAGTATTTCGAAGTCGTTTTTGTATCAATATCAATTTTAAGCGCACACGCAGAAGCACTATTAATTAGCTGGAAACTGATCACTAGATAAAACATTATATGAGCATCTCTTGTACTATGCAGTATTCCATTTTATTATCGCATCACACGCCTTATTTCTTATTATTGGTCTCTTACCAGCATAAGTTTTATATTAAACAATTTATAATATAAAGTAACTAAGAAACTTTCAGCTCTTTTGTTGGTTCTGACAATTTATGTTCCTGAAAATAATAATGAATATTATCTTACCGCTGTGTGATAGCAATTCTAAAAGCTAAGACATTTGGCAAGAAACACAGCTCAATTGAGTATTCATTTGCAAAATCATTAAAAAGGTATTGACTGTTCCTGCCGCCAGCGCCCAATTGTCTAGAAGTCCTTCAACCCCTCTCGCGTTCGAAGGTATAAATGTGCGTGTAAAAATAATTTCTTAGTAGTATTTCCTGGAAAGGCGTGTTTTTCGCCGCTTTTGAGTACTTTTCCAAAAGAAAACCAAAGACGCCATGATGTTCACGTTGTCTAACAAACTGTTTTTTTTTTCTTACACCTATTGTACGCATTTGCGTTTTAAGTAGTTAGTTCCGAATCATTTTTTAATTTTTGTTTTTTTGGATAACCGTTTTTGTTTTATTATCATTTTAAGTCGCTATCTCCCACAAAAGGGGAATTCGCCGACAAATATTTGGCCCTTTAAGCCTATAAAATTGTTTTTCGCTCTTGCAGTTTAAGCGTGGTGAGAGGTGTTTCAAAGTGAACTAAGATCGCGTGGATGGTTTTCTTTTGGGAAAATTGCCAACTTAATTTAGCAAAAATGATTCGAAAACCGCATTTTTTCCAAAAACAGCTTGGGCCTAAATGTGTTGCAGGATACCCTCTAGGTCAGCCGTGAGCAACCTTTTTAATCAACGGGCCAATTTAAATTTAATTTTTTTTGGCGGGCCGCGTATAGAGTACTCATTAATAATTTACAAAACTGTATATCGTTGTTCATGTTTTGTACCGTAATGCTTTTTTATGCTATATTTTTTTAATGTCGACATAGTGTCTGAGCGAGCATATTAAGCATACAGCTTTATCTTTGACGAAAGTCAAAAAATAATCAAATTTCCGCTTTTCTTGAAAATGCTCATCCGCAACCTTCCGTTTTTTGGTTTGCTTTTCTGACATGCTATTATGAAGTAAATAAGTGCATTTGTACAAATAATAACATTTGAAAGTTTTAAGAAATTTTGGTTTGTATTGCATGTTTGAACAAGTCGCCCACAAGTGAGTAACTCGTCAAAAATTCTATCGGTCAGTATGTACTTCTATTTTATTATAATTAATTTTATAACAATATATTGATAGGAGAAAGTTGACATCATAAATTCAATTTTTTGAATAGCTTGGCGGGCCGCATAGACACGTTTAACGGGCTGCGTGTTGCTCATCCCTGCTCTAGGTGATAGTTCTTGATTACCTTTTGATGAAGAATTCGTTCTTATTGCGAGATAAAAGCACTGTTTATCAATTTCTAATAAAAGACGTGAGGAAATTCTGTATTTTTTAAGGACAAAAATTTTTGAGTCGGAATACCCAACAAACCGTTTGTGAAAATTGAGATGTCGTGTAGATGCGCCGAACTAATTATTAAGTCAAGAAAATAAGCAAGAAAAAGGGTTGCATATGCTATGGAGTTTTTGATGAAAGATCACAATTTTTGGAACACTGTGATTTTTAGGGACGAAAAAGTATTGCAGTCCTCATATAATGGCAAAGTTCCAATATGCCAGCCTCCAAATTCAAGATTTAGTCAAATATATCCACATCAGACCAGCGGTAGGTTTTCTGTAAACTTGTGGGCTTAAGTCGTGGACCAGGAGTTTGTTGGAATATTGACGGCAGGTTGAACAGCGAATCTTATAAAGTAATATTAGAAATCGTTTTCCTTCCATCAGAAAACCTATTTTTTGGATATAACAATATTTTTTTTTGGATGTATCAATAATTTTTTTTGGATATAACAGTGTGTGGGTATACCTAACTAAGAACATCTATAGAGAAGATTTTAGGCTACCAAACCGCCGTGAATTAGGGAAAAATTTAAGACTCCTGAGAGTCTAACTAACACCAGAATATACAAGCATCTTAATTCGTTTTACGCCCACACATTTGAATTTCGTTTTAGATGCTTATGGGACAGAAATGTAATATTAGTTGATCAGTTTCTGAAGAACTTTGGGAAATACCTATTGTATATTTTGAGTCATCGACTGTACGTCATTTGTAATGACCACAGATCACAGAGGATACTCTGTGATCTGTGGTCATTACAAATTACAGCTTATAAAATCTTAAACGACAAAATACTCAAAATGACATTTAGTTAATTTCAATAAACGCCATTTTTAATATTTGAAGTTTATATGTAAAGAAATATTTAAAAATTAATCATTTTCAAAATGAACACAAGAAAAGCATATAAAAACAAACGTCGTCTTGTTAAAAGTAATTCCAAAGCCGGAAAATTGGGGCAAGATATAAGAATTACGGAGAGCAAATCAAATATTGGATCGAAAAGAGTAACTGTAAGTTCATTCGTACATATATAATAGTGAATAATAAGTGTTCTAATGTCTACTTGCTTCAAATATTGAAAAAATACTTGTTTAGCTTAACTTAACCACTTAATAATGAAATTTATTTAAATAAACTTATATTTTATATGCTAAACAAATGGGCATTAAAACTCAGACTGGTTACTGGGTGCTCCTATCATAAACTATTGCCACAAATGGAATTAGTTGAACCTGTTTTAAATTTAATTCTATAACGCATTCATTTCGCCTTTTATCGCTTTTATTTGTAGTTACTTCCCGGATTTTTGATTAATGGATTCACTTCTGATACTGCAAGAAAAGGTAAATGTATATTTGAGTAGATTACTGTGTCTTCGGTCTGGTTAACGTACTATTTACTTCTATATGCATTTTAATGCAAAAAATAGTGTTTTTTCTCTATTATCTTTGCACTAATAAAATATACATGTATAGGTCGAAAATTGTTCTGGCTTACTTTCTATAAAAACTTTAAACAATTAAGAACTTTATGTTACCGACTATGGCGTCAAAGATTGTGACTATACAACAAAGTATTTTGTTGAATATTTAACACAAATCTAAATTAATCAGATTTGGGTACCCGTGCGTTATTATCTATAAGGTGTTTAAAAGCGGCAATCTTTAAAACAATAATTTCTCAGATCATTTTACCAAAGAAAGTGCCTGGTTTGCTACGTATCTATAGGTTTGCAACGTATCTGATACGTAATATTAATCGTAAATGATTTAATAATTTAATAATAATGATGTTGTAGTACATGTTGTTTTGCCTAATATTAACAGAATTATTGTTTTGTTACGCCCGTATGCATAGTCGATCGTAAGCGATTCGCCGTTAACATGTGCCGCCATAGCGAAGAGCGCGTCGGCAGGGACCCAACGGCGCTATATCCTAATATCTTAAAATGTTCTTAATACTTATATGAATTAATTATTAATTAAAACTAATTAACTTTTACTAAAACACATGTAGCCCAACGACCTAAAAGTATTTACTTGGCGAGTTGTCGGATATTTTAATTTCGGCAAACTGATATATTTTCTGCCAGTGCTGCGAAGTTGGGCGATAAATCGCAAATTAGGCGATCAAATTTGTTAAAACACGTTTCAATTGTTGAATTTGCGCAAAATGAGCGATGAAAGTCTTCGTCAATGTGATGCAATTTGGGCGACTTTTGTTCGTCACTATGCGACTTTATTTACCTAAGCATTGGAAACAATGCTCCTGTATTCATCTAGGCGACATCACGGCGAATCGGTTCGGATTGACTATGCATACCGGCCGAATTGTAATGATGCCTAAATGTAACAGACATTTGTATGCATCATCGAAATCGGAATAGTTTATATTTCTGTTGAGTTTCAATAATTTCGAATTACTACAAATGACTCTACACATAGTAATTTTTTAAATTTAATTTAATTTACTGAGCACTAATTTAATTTAAATAAAAATCACATTTGCAAAAATAAGTTTTATTATTTACCTCATAAACCAACAAAGATTCCTTCAAGAGAACTTCTAGGGTTCAAGGAACACAGAAGTTATAAATTTGCTGCTTTATCTCGAACAAATATCGATATTTAAATAGACTTAAATAGTCACTAGGCATCCTGCCTAGACTTAATAATTTTAATGTAGTTAGCACTAAATCTGCACCTGATTGCCACTAATAATGATACCAATGTGCGAAAAAATCGATAAAAACTTCTTTAAATTATTTTTGAAAAACTTAACTTTTAAATATTTTACACCTTGTATTTTGCAATCGATCTGTTTGATTCATTTTTCTAGGACTTTTTTATAAAACAACCTGAGAAATGATTTCTTCAAATATTGACGCGTTTTGTTTAAACACCCCGTTTATTTCTGGTAATTATCAAACTGAAGAGAAAGAATAAATTCATCATTATTGAGAATATTAACATATGATTATGCCCTTAATTCTCATTTAGCGTATAGGTGTATGTTAATCAAAGATCCAATAAATCACATCGAAAAACGGCTATCAAACTCACACATGTCCGGAAAAGGTGCGACCAACACTTAACGAGGCAACTCTACAGCGAAAATGAGTTCTTATGACACTTTTGTGAAACTTATAACTCATTTTTGCTGTAGAGTTGCCTCGTTAAGTGTTGGTCGCACCTTTTCCGGACACCCTATATAATAGTTAGTGCAGATCCAAGAAGTGACAATAACAAAATTTTCAATTTGCCATACAGTATTTTTAATGTTAACACTTACTATACATAGTGTTCTTTAAACAGTCTGTATACACAGTAATTTGAAACGTTTTTTAAAATATTTTACAGCACTTAGTGATTTACAGCAAAGATTTCAATTTCAAGAAACCAGAAATATTTAATACCAGAGCTAAACTACTCATTTAAATGTTTAATTTAGATCGTGATTCTTAAATTACATTCTCATCAAAATGTCGAGTTTCGATATACATACTCATGATTTCATTTTAAAATAGATTTTATAAGAATTTTTATATCGTGTGTATTTTGTGCCAAAACATTCAATTATCACCAAACATACATTTCAAGAAACTCACCCTTTCTCATACCATCTCACACAAACAATCTTTAAGCAAACATTGTAATAACTGCACTTGTGCTTATTTGGGGAAAATATCTAGTTTCTATTTTTATTCAGGTAGTGTATTTCCACATTCTCAGTAAGTCTATCACTTCAAGATTGAAGATACTTATTACAAATGAAATAATAATTATTGTAAATAACTGTTACTTTAAGGTGAAAGTCGTCCCAATAAACAAAACAAAGGTAAAGTATTGCCTGATAATCTGCAGGAGATTTTCGAACGAAAAAATATTTTAAGACGATCTCAGAGGTTGTCGAAAAGACGCGAGAGTGATAGTTTACAGTCACCTTATCATCATCAATCTGGCTCAGAACCTTCGAGGAGCAATTCTTCGTCTAATGTACATTCAAGCAGTGTGCGTTACAAGCCAATATTAAAGAAAAATCCAAAAAGTATTTTTAAAGAAATTAGTGACAAACTTTCCGAAGCTCAAAACGCGCAACCTGAAGAGCACCATCAGCCAAGGAAGGTTTATAGAACACATCGACGAGTAGATGCTAGTGACCGAAATGTTAGTGATCAATATGACGAAAACGCTGAAACTGATAATGTACGGACCTTATTTGGAGACAAGAATTGCAATTTTCACACTCCGCGCTGTAGCCATTTAAAGTTAAACGTTAACTCTACATTTTGTACGAACTTTATTAATAAAATTCGTGTAACTTTTAAAAAGAACGTCGTAAATGAGAGCAAGGAAATAGTAAAAACGGAAATCAACAATGTCAACTTGGTATTGTCAGGAAAACCAAAAATGCACGAAAAAACACTGGAAGACAGCGATGATAACGATTTGGAAGACAAAAACATGCAGAATACGCTTCCAGTACCGCCAAGGAATTGGGTTTATCATACTCCAAACAATCGAACAATTAATGCAACTCAGCCATTGAACTGTCAAATAAAACCTGTTGTGATACTTGCAAATAGTAATCGTTTTGATTTATACGAGATCAAACCACAATGCAAAATGGTTCATAATCATTCAGAGCGAGAAACGGCAGAAAGCCCCCTAGGTAGAGCTCATTTCAGAAGCGAAGTGACTATTAATCCATCTAAATTTGGATTTAAACAAAATAAAAATCACAAGTTAGAATTTGAAAATGGACAACAAAACTACGCTACAGGAATGGAAACTTATAAGCAACAGGTGAGACATTTTAGGCGAAGATTTCAAATGTGCAACGACTGTATCTAGCAATGAATGAAAATTAAAAAGCCGTTCGTTGTATTTGATTCTATAATACGTATAGGAACCCTATTTTATCTGTCTCCCATTACTCTAACTTTGTACTTTTATAGTGCACCTCTTCCCTTGTAAAAGCTCTTCAAATAAGAAAATAATAGAATCTTTGCAGTCGAAATGATTCGACCGTCACTTTTTAGTCATAGTGAAAATTATCTTTACATACAGAGTGGTTTTTAGTGCGATATAGTCGATTATTTCCTATCGCACTAAAAAAACACCCTGTATGTGACTCCAATGGCAAATGTGTGGCTTGAAGCCAACAGTCATAAACATAATTTCACATCGAAGATTGAGAATATCGCGGCCGTCAAAGGAATCGTTCCAAAAGTACATTTATTGAAAATTATGTTGGTAAAATGTTCAACGGGACCAGAGTTTCACTCCCTTTCAGGTGCCTGAAGCTGGTTCACGTATCTCGGACACGTATTTGAAAATATTAAAAACCGCTGTAAAACCTTTTTAGATAGCAAGAACTTTTCTATGATTAGTATTTATCGCAAATTCCGATAAGGGTAGACTCCAAGATATGAAAATTTAAAGAGCCCCTTCAAAAGCGATATTAAAAGCATAATAAGCAGGACGAAGAAAATTAAAACATTATATTTATTTCTGAAACGGTCGAAAACATCTGGCGAGTCATTTAGATTGAACGTTTTGTGACTCGTTTGTTCTCCTCCGTCCTCAAGCAAAGTTGCGATTCCGCAGCGAGATTAACCTAGTTTTGATAGTTTAACTTATATCTCGGAATATGTTGCGGTAGAGGGTCGTTATAACAAATTTTTCATAATTTGGATTTGTTGGAAAGTTCTTGTCGTTCACAATATTAAAAGCAACCATGTCAATGCTTTTGCTTTATATGTGGGAGTTCAAAGTGATATCTTGGAAAGGGTTCTAAATGTCTGATCATTCAGCTCGCACCAAACGTGATAATCATGTGAGACGGACGTGATTATAAAAGCAGCATATCACAATTAAAGGACGTCCATAAACGACGTGTTCAACAAAACTATGATACCCGTTAAATAATCAACTGTGTTGTTAAACTGGTGAACAGATAATACCATTTTTAAACCAAGTGTTATTTAAGCTAACAAGGTTTTGCGTTATCAAAAGCTTTAGAGAATAAAAAAATGCAATGGAAATCACCCATCAAAATAATGTACTTGATTGGCTGCTGAGCTCTTGACTTTGACCAACATTACAGATAACTACACAGAACTGACAAAATAGCACGAATTTTTAATTTTGAATTAAAAAAATAGGAGGAACAAAACACAAAAATTGGCAATCAAGCACTACAAATGCTGGTATTTCAAAAATCTCGTCTTGTTTGTTTCATCAAAATTAAAGTTGTATTTTCTTTCAGAAAAGTGTACCTTCCACAGTAAATATATTTTTGTAATTTACGGAAAATATTGTTAAAGTTAATTTAGGGTTGTAACTTCAGACATTTAGTTGCAATTGGCTAAAACAATAAAGGTAAAAAGCTGTATAGTGCTCGCGTAAATAATGAGATCCCTCCTTATTTTGTGAACCTTTATAGCTGTTTCCACAAAATTTGCGACGCTATTAAGGTCAAATTGTCTATCTTTTGACATAAAAATGACTGCTGAAAATGTCAAAGTGACAGTCTTACGCCATTTTCGTTTATTTTTCCTAATGGAATGGGTGGTCGAGTGACACCTTGTTTTGAAGGTCTGTTCATCCTCCCGTCAACCGTCAATTTGTAGATCGTTTGTTTCAGTAGTTTTCGAATGACCGCTTGCCAATTAATATATCTGATGAGTTGATTGTTTTTCTAACGCTGTACAAAATTGTATTTTTATCTAAACCGACTTCGCCCTAATTGCAATTATCACATACAGCAAGTCCTACCCAGATATTTTCAAGCTTTATAAAATGAGTGCCATACACCATTATCCATTTATCAATTCTTAACAACTTAACTTTTAGGAATTCCATTTTATTAAATGTTCAAAATGTTCTCCGTTAGCAGCCTGGCAATGATAAAGTCGATTCGTGAATTCATCTTTAACTTTTGCCAATGTGTCTGCCGGTATTCCAAGGCCAAAGTTCCTTATTTTTTCTCTCAGGTCTTCAATTGAATCAGGTTTTGTAACATAAATTGGCTCCTTAACTTTAACTAACATAAACTTGCGATATCCCCAGAGAAAAGTCTATTGAGGCAAGATCGGGCGACCGTGGCGGCCATTCAACTGGCCCCCGCCGTCCAATCCACCTAGTTGGAAATACTGTATTTAGCCACTCCCTAACTGCTCTTGAATGAGGGGGTGCACCGTCCTGTTGAAAAATATCACTGTGAAATTCCTCCGGTTTGAACTTGACGAGTCTTTGTATCCTCGAATAAATCTGGTTTATTAACATATCTAGATAAAATTAACCGATAAGATTCTGATCAATTAATATGGGACCGACAAAATAATTTCCAAGTTTGCCATCCCAAACATTTATTTTCTGTGGGAATTGTGTGGCGTTCTCGAAATATGTATTGGTTCACATCAGACCAATACCGTACATTCTGCATATTCAGTTGATTCGTTAGAAAAGCAAATTCGTCTGTCATAATCTGGAAATTGAACAGTTGATTCGCACATGAGTTCACAAAACTGCCTATCCGAATAATCTTCTGTTAACTAATGAACCAGACTAATTTAGTATGGATGGACCTTGTTATTCCTAAGATAATTTTGTAGAATTGTTGCTGAGACTTGGCATTCTTCAGCAGCGTTTTCTGATGACTGCTGCAAATTGGTGACCATAGAGGCGACATGAATAATCAATCATCATCAAATCAATTTGTTTGGCTTCGAGAATAGACTTTTTTCAGTACTTTTTTCCGGCCAACACTGCTAGTAGTCACAAACTTTTGGAGCAATTTTCTGTAATAATTTCGGCAAATGGGACTCGCAGGAAATCTTTCGTTGAACAATCTTACTGTTTGATGTAAATTTCGACCGGCTTCTCCGTATATCCCCGCTTCAGTTCTTTGTTTCAAGGTGCGTCCATAAACCATTTTTGCATTCAAATTCACACTCTTAACCCAGGTACTGATCTCAGGTCCCATCTTACCAGGTACTTAAATAATACTTAATAGAAACTTAAACTTTCAAACGTAGATGATCGAAACTATCAAAAACTCTCAGAATAAATAAAAAAGCATTTTTAATATTATAAATACTTTTTTTTGAAAATGGACTTTTTGGGTGAAGTCACAGACGTTGTTAGATGTTCTGGAGTTCCTTGGAATATTTTGAAATACAAAATATCCACCAACATACAGGAAACGACCAAATAGTTTCGTGCAATTGAACGATCGTGATTTTAAATTTATAGCCTAGATTATCGATATTAGTTACTTTTTCAGTTTCCAAGTATTGAGTTAATCTTCAAAATAGAATATATAAAATAAAAATAACGATTATTTACAATTTGTGAGCTACAGCTATATGTTAAATTAATGATTGTACTGTTTATGTAACAAACATTTACCAAATAATAGTGTACGCCGTTTTACATTATCGAATACGTTTATTCTGCTGAACCATCGTTGAAGTTGCTTTTGTGCAACCGGCCCTAATTAAGCAAACGACTTAAAAATATGTTGCATATGACGTACTAAGACGCATAAATGATCCCGATGCAGCCAATATATATCGGACACTGCCGGATGTTGTAAAATCAACTCACATTCCATAATTATGTGAATTACTTTGAAAGAAATATTAATATTCAACAATAAAATGCTAATTACGCCCGGCGCTGCAATTGGAACCGACAGCTTGTTAACATGGTCCTTTAAAAGTTCTTGCATGACTCGCAATATGTAATCACCCGAGTTTTCAGTTTTTTTACGCATTTGTAATTGTTTTGCGGGAAAGTCCAATTTTTAAAGCTTCCAAGCGTATCCACGAAGTAGGATTCGGCCCAAAACGACCAAGAACTTCCATTTAAAGTGCTTCAAGCACTTGTGGCTCATTTCATTATAATTCAATCAAACAAGTTTTTTGTAATAAATGCCGAGAACTTAACTATATTACATACGTACTTCATTACAGAAAACTTGTTTGAATTTTCATTCAGTGAGTACACACCAACTTCTTATTGTCAGTAAAACGAGTGTCTTGAAATTTAGCTATCTATCAAATGTAACCATCGCCTTAGACTAGGTAAAAATGCCTGTCTTCATTTCTTTTCTTTAAGCACAGCACAAGGGGAAGAGACGCCATTTAAAGTTGTAAAGCTGGGTGACAGGAGTTAAACGCAAATGTGGGTAAATTAGTTACTATGTAGAAGCGGTTTCAAGGAATTTTTCATATCTTTTGTCATTCATGAGCTATATCAATTGCACGGTTTTAAAGTCACGCTGTAAAAGCAAACCCAGTGTAATGATTATTCGATTCATATAATATTGTAATGTTTATATTTTAGTGTGATTGCTCACGCCCCAGTTGCAACCGTTATAAACCGCAGATCGACAGAAATTATGCGGACAATTATATTCAGTTTTGTCCCACTTCGAATACTCTGATGGATGCTAACGATTTTCAGACTGAAAGCTGTGTAAAAATCGGACAGTCTCAACACATACGAGTAAACGAAACAGATATATGTGACGAAGATGATTTTAGGGAAATTCCGCGTTTTGTCTCCAATTACGAAGAAAATTCCAAAAACATGTTCAATTTTAACAACCGTGGAAACATGTTTGACTTTGGTTAAAATGGAGGATTACTGCTTCAGACCGTAGTGTCACCTTAGCAGTTTTTTTATACCAAACATCAGATTGAATCAAGATTTATTTAGTTACTTATTTAAGATAAAATGTTCAACATTTGAAACTATGTAATAAAACTGCAGAAAATTATGAAGGAATTCTTGAAAAAGCTCTTCAATCGAAGAGCCTATACAACAAACAAAACACTTTACATAAACGTTATTTATTTTCTTTTATAATAGGTGTAATTCTAATCTCTAGAATACTTTTCAGTTTAATTATAATTAGTCTCCCTTGTCATATCTACAAAACATGAAAGTGTCTCAAATGGCAGACATTAATAATAAAAATATAAAATTAACAAATATGTTTGACAAGAATGGCCTTGACGATTATATCTTCAATTTTAACGATATAAGATAGTTTACATTGAAACCTAATTTAATAAAGCATTTGTATTATGTTCTTGCTGAACGTTTAAAGCGGGAACAGTATTCGAGCTAAATTTCTCAAGGTCTCAATGAAAAGCTGATCTATCTAATGTTTCTGCATATGCAAAGTTCCTCGGTGATAAATTAATGAACTAATAAATACCACAGCCTAAAATTTCGAATAATCACGAATAGATGAATGATTATTCATTGTAAGGATGATTCGTACAAAAATATTCGTTCGACACCACATCTGGTAGATACAATTGTACGAAAGTTTGAAACATTAAGAAGCAGACTTTAATCCGAAGAACCCTGGATAGCATACTGAAGAGTAGAATGGTAAGTAGATATATCGCGATAATCACGATGTGTCACTTAAAAAAATCGTATTAACATTGGCTAGGGATTGATTGCATTATTTTTACTATTATACTTATTTGCATTTATTTGAAGTAAAAAGCAAGTTTGCGAAAGAATAGCTTTGAGGGTACTGTTAGGGTGAGTTATTTTGTTTACACTTTTTTAATAAAAACGACATTTTGACAAGCCAAGTTTAAGTCAATCGGAAAAATTTCAAATTTATTTCATTTCGTAATCTAAACCACCCAAAAAATAACAACTAAACGTATTAATTTTAAGCTTAAAACTAACTTTGTACATGTAGAAAAAAATATAAAAATGATACAGATATTGATCAGATGATACAGAGATTGGTCGGTAAAGTTTTTCAGCAAACAAATACGAGAAATGTGAAAAATGTTCCGCGACGACAATTTCAAATTGACTGACATTTTTTCAGAGCTCTGAATGGAATTGTTTTGTTTTCAAATTTCGTACAGTTTATTCCATTCTGACTTCAATATTGCAATCATAGTCATCATTCCTGTAAGAACCCATAGTTTAGTATTGCCAATTTACTTAGACTTAACTATTACAGCTTGGATTTTGTTCACTTCTTTACGGTTTAACTCTAAATTCCTAACAGCATTAGGAACTAAGTTAAACAATTAGCCATATACAAAAAACATGTAACTGAAAACGAAAAATCCTCTCAAGTGGGTACGTAATTATTGCACTTATTTTACGAATTAGATGACTTCAACTGACTTTTGGACAACATTTTGCAATACTTGGAATATATCTTATTTACTTTTTATTTAACTATTGTTATGCTTTGATGTACTTGCTTTCTTTTAAAAAATCACATTATATTTTTGTCGTAAAATTACGTAATTTTTCATATGATAAAGTTTTAATAGTGAGGCCAACAAATCACTATGCGTTTTATAGGTCTAGAAAATAATTTCTATTTCGGGTCGTTTAACTGCAGACTACGTCCAAAATAAAGAGTAAATAATGACGTATTTGCCATGGAAGCAATGAAATAATACTTTTTCATTATTTCCATGGCAATTGATGTTTTCAATTTTATAATTGGATTAATAATTTTCGAAAATATACTCATGCTTGCCCGTGCGCAACAACAATTATTATCGATAATTTTACAGTTAAATATTCAATTTACTAAACTTCCTACAAACTCAACGAGGTCTCTTATATTAGCAACCCATAACGTATTTACTAATTCCATATCAAGGTATTAAATGCATTGAGAAGTCTATTTTAAAGTTTGATATGTAGAAAAGCGCAGAATTATATAATTGTAATTCAACATAAACTATACAGCGTCCTTCAGCACTTATTTAAATTTTTTAGTTTAAAATAAAAGAATCTTTTCTATTCTAAATCATCACTCTTTTGCATAATTTAATACCACAGTTGAATTACAGTTTATCTGGAATCACTATTGCTTATGTTGAAAATTGAACTACTTCTTAGCATTGACATATCCAATATGGAATTTGTTTCACAGCTGGCCACTAGTCTTATACAGTACACATTACAATATATACACGCAAGATGTTCTTTTTCCAAAATATACATTATATAATTTGATTTATTTATATAATGTAAATATTCCGATATTATTTAAAACAAAATCTAAATAACTCTTTTTCCTATGAGATTTTATAACTGCTGAAGCCAGTTGGAATAGTAGTGAATTGAAGAACGAAGGGAAAATCTATAAAGGTTTTTGAGTGGCTTTGCTAACATTTAAAAAGTACTGTTTTTGAAGCACAATTAATAAAAGTTGCTGTCAAGTCAAGTTTAAACCGATTTCTCTCTTTGGTATTGACTAATAGAATTGTATCGCAGAACTTTTTCGCTGCTTTTCAAATTATTTACTCACAAGCCGTTACCACAACTTTTACCTCAGTTCTTTCACGTAGTTTCATCTTACATTTTCTTCTAGAAATAAACGTAATTTAGTTGCCGATCGCAATCAATTACTCTCAGTATATACAGGGGCGGATGCACGCAGTTTCCAACTGCTTCTACAGTATAGTTGGGTCGCCACTGCCTCTACCTGTTATAAGTGGGCTCAAAGTTCCCGGTACCCTTTGTCCTCTTTCCATTTCATAATGCGTATCTAATGGAATATCTGAAATGGATATTAGTCAATAAACTTTGCAAAAAAACACTAAATAAATCAGCACTTACTAGTTTCAAGAACGGTTTTAGTAGGAATGAAAGTAGCCACAAAAATGGCGCACAAGACTAGAAAGGCTCCAAACACATAAGGCGGCCCTGGCATGAGCTGAAATAAAGGCATTTTGTTATTTGAATATCTTTACCTCCATTTTTCTAAATGCCGTATTTCATCTGTATGGTAGGATATACAGGGTGGTTCACTAACGACGTGGTCGTAATTTACTTTGTTAATGCCATTATTTCAAGAAATTGTTTCAAATAAAACTTGAGACAGAATCGAAATATTCACATTCTATTGAATTTGCAACAAAAATCTAATTATTTTTCATTCTGCACTGATTTTGGGTTTCTACATAGACCACCCGGTATTTTAAAACATTATTTTAAATTACGATAAAATAGCACCTTTTTGTAGTTCTACATAAGTTTTATAGAAAGTAGATAAAAAATAGTAATGAAAATTAATTATCACTACAAATTGAGATATTTGCAAAAAAATAATAAGAGATTTGGCAACGATGTTGTTGGTTTGTTTGCATCTATAGAACTCATTTCTTTATCGTTAACATTGCGTAACAATATGTTGGTTGCTGTATGCAATAAAAATGAATACAATTTACTATAAACTTTTTCCAAAAAAATATGTTGAATTTTTGAACAAAAACATTATTTATTTAAAATTTGAATTTGTTCATTGCAATGGAATTATAGCTATCGGATTATCAGATAATTAGAAAACACATGAATAAAACACTGCTTTCGAATAATTCAAATGAATTACAACTATCGAATAATCCGATTGAACCTCTTCTGCACTCGGACGCTGCTGTCACTTCACTCTCCCCATGGTTCTCGTCGTCGCTTATATAGTTTCCTCCAGGTAACCCAGAAGGTTTTCGAAATCTCCAGTCCAGGTGCGAAATTTCCCGCTTGTCAGTGTAATATTTGACAGTAAATGGGGCCGAAATGGGGCTCCCATTTACTGAAATACCATGAATTTCGATCCCCCATTCCAAACGTGAGTACCCCAGGCCATTTCCGTTACAATATTTTAGGCCAGATATGCTCTATATCCGATGACTTCGTTGTACAAATTTGCAGATAGATCGTACATCGGGTTCTTAAAGGTCAAATACGCCATAGACCGTGAATCACCCTGTATATAATCATTTGCAATATATGAGTTTTTAGTGAGATTTAATCATAAATTTTTTTTTATGGATTCCCTAAATATTTCTAGACGACTCCCCCAGAGAAACAACCGCAATTTTAAATCATGCTAAAGCACATTTTGCATGAATACAATTCTTACCTCCGTGTAAGATTCAAGAGTTTGAGTGGAATGTGTAGCATTTTGATTTTCTCCCTCGTTCAAATCAACGTGAAACATGTAGAAAATTATTCCAAACATGGCAGGTCCTAGACCATTGCAAAGTCCCCTCATGCCAGTAACCATTCCTGAAAAATAAGATTATTTTTCAACCATTGACCAACTCATTGGAATGTATACGAATGAACAACATTTTTTGACTTAGTAAACAAGAAATAACTAAATCTAGATTTGATTAAAAATCAGATCATTGGACGTGCATTACCCTGGACAACTCCTTGTCGATCAGCAGTCGTATGAACTGAAACAAATGCTGAGATGGCCGGGTAGGTTATAGACCCGATAGAGGCCAAAATACCAGCACCCCACATCATCCACATGGTGGTACCGAAACCATACCACAAGAGTTGAAGCATCTCGAACAGTAAACCAAGTATGATGGTGTGTTTGGCTCCGAGATTTTTTATTAAAATACCTGAAACAATATTCACATTTGTTCCTATAAATCTCCTACTTATTGTGGAAGTTCGTCCTACCTAAACATAGTTGAGTTATAACGGCCAGCAACCCAACTAGCCCCACAAATACCGCTACCATTTTGGAGCTCCAACCCATTATTAGCTTTAAGTAAACAAATATACAACTATACTGCCCCGACTCCGGTAAGTAGCTTAGGAAGACTGTTATGCACAGTAGTAGGATTGTCGGGTCTTGACCAACATTTCTAAAATGAAAAAAATATGTCCGATGAAACACCAAATTGTACACAATAATTGCAAAACAAGTTAAACAGATGCAGAAAATTATACGCGGGAGTTGTGTGATAACTTCTTATGACACGGTGTGAATGGATTGGAATGCGTAACGGCGTCGTTATGTCTGTCATAAATAAAGACAATAGCTACGCAGTTCTCTCTCGCACGCACACGCCTCTCGCGAGTTCCATCTGATTCCATTAGGCCGGTCGTCTGTTATAATAGTGTGTATGCTGTGGTCCGATCGTGTGAACATAATAGTGTGTAGTCCGTGGGTCGGTCTCTTTGGATGCGTTTTCGTCTGAACTGCTTTCGTCAGAAATCGTGAGAAAAGGAGCTAATGATCCAATTTCATTGCAATGTTTCTCGTTCGCTAGATCCGAAATCATTCGTGAGAATTTGCACGAAGGATTGTAAGTAAAATGTAACCTTCGGCCGGACGTCCTTTGGAAGGAATTAGTCATATATGGGTATCGTCCACTGCATCTGTTATGTATCAAATAAGCACATTTATACATAGTAATTATATATCTTCCGAGAAGACAATTACAGTTTAAAAGAAAAAAAACTATTGGGCTGATGATACATTAGCAAAACCAAAAGAATTTGGAGAATTCCATGATTTATATGAATATTTTAATGTTGATTAGTCTTCTGTTAGATTTTTATTTAGAAAATTTAGAAAACAAACTACAATCGAGCAAGATAAAATCGAGTGGAACAAATCGTTTCTTATAACAGTTATCATAAACCAATTGTCACTTTCGTAGGATTGTAGGAGATGATGATAACGTAAATACCAGCGAGTCAACTGCAACTATTGAAGAATGTTAGATGTTGTAAATATAATATAAATTTTCATTCAAAAGGAAAGTAAATTACCTTTTTACCTATTCATGATACATTTATCAATTATTAGAATTTAACTTAAACAAGAATATTGAAACTATAAATTAGTATTGCCATAATGCGTTAAACGAGTTCAATATTTTATGGTTTCTATTAATAATATAAAGTTATCACTTCTGTCGGGAGTCCGGTGTCCATCACATTTTTTTATTTCAATAGTTTAAAAATGTACCCATGAAATGTGTTATACGTATGTTTCAGTTTTTAAATCATCATCAAATGAAAGCTTCTACAAAGACTTTATTTTAAACAAAATAATATATTTAGATAGTTTATAATAAAATTTATTTAAGTAAAAATCAAAATTCGCATACAATCAAAATATGTGTTTTCTTCACAACTAACAAAGCTTCAAGGTTGAACTGGTAAGAAGAGAAAACATATTGAAGCTCAATATCAACCTCACAAAACTGACGATTGGCCATATTCATTTTCACCGTAATTATTTTCATTTGTTCAATAAACTGAGGATCTTAGAAATTACTTAAAGGCCTGATTTTTTTTCTAAATGTTGGTAGACTGATACAGATTAATGGAAACTTATTTATCCGATCACCTCAAAGGTTCCAGAAATCGATTTATTATTTATAATAATCATTAAATAGAATTATTTGAGAGTGAACACTTGAAGTGTATATTATGATTTCTAGCGTGTAATTTGATTTTCACGTTTTTTTCTCGAGCAAATAAAGTTGTATCCGAGGTTATGACAGTTTTTCTACAAAATGAGAGTTAACTTATTGTCATTTACAGTCTTTATAGAATCTGACTTTCAGTTGACTGAAGACTCACACATTTCGAAGACTTTTAAATCGTGAATCCATCAGATAAAGAAATGTTTGATTATATGGAAGCCATTAAAATAGCGGATGTTAACCACAAACGCCTGGCTGTTAACATGATATGTATGAAAATCAATCAACATCATCTGGTAAATTAACTTACCTTAAAGCTGAGAAAGGATCTGCTTGTTCCCAACTTATCGGAGAGACTCGAACTTTTTCTGGCAAAGATTCTGGAACGGCAACAAGAATGAAGAATACATCTAAAATAGCTACTGCTGTCGCAAGTGCAACGACTAGAGAGAGCGACCATCTAAAACAATAAATAAAAAGCAAATTTTAAATTGATTCATTTTAGTCGGAGATCAGAGAGTAGGGACAAATAATTTCGAGCTTTATACAGATACTTTTCCAAAATTATCTACAGTGTTCATACAATGCAATATTATAATTCTCCAGTTATCGTTGATAACCCGTTGTTTTATCAGACTATGAAGGCTTTCACGGCCGGTTAAATCACATTTAAGAATGTGATTTAACATTCTTAAATGTAATCCGTTGTTTTCACAAAGCGAATGGGTCAGACTTTAATTGTTCGAGAAAACATTAAAAGGCTTGTTTAACTAATATATTGACTGTTATATCCACATAAGTTGAGAAAAAAACGGCAATAATTTCAGTTACTTGAAAGTCTTACCTGTCCATTAAATAAGCTCCCAAAGCTGGAGAAATTACCATACTGGCTGCAAATGTGCCACTAACTAATCCGTAAGCTAATGATCTTTCTTTTTCATCTGTTACATCGGCTACATACGCGAACACAACGCTGAACGTAACCGCAAACACACCTAGAAGAAAATGATTCAGATTAAACTCAATTTGAACTACTAGAGTTCTTTTAAATATTGTACTTCTTAAGTGCAACCATCAACGACATTAATTGAAAAAAAAGGTTGCAATGATAAAGTATTATTCAATTTAAATTTCCGCTCGAAATAAGCTAATGGAAAAATTAAAACTTTTTTCGAATTTCGATTTTTTCCGGATATCTCCGGAAGTAGCAGGAATTTTAAAAAGTTTCAATGAGCATTTTAGTAAGCTCTAGACTGCGCAACTTTGGCCCAAATTAACCAATCACGTGTCTAGTATGGTTACCGAGATGTCCATGGTTGAGCTCCAAACACGGACACCCTAGATAGAGTTATAATGGTATGTGTTGTTTTTTTAAACAGTTAAAGTCGTAAGTTCTAGTTCAATCTTCGTCTGTACAGTTCTCTTGTTCTTTCGCAGTCCGTGTCCTCCAGGTTATATCTTACAGAGTCTATTTTGTTCCTGATTTTTTGTTGGCTACTGATAGCAACACTTTAACAAGAAACAGATCATTTGAATACCAAGCAATAAACGAAATATCAGTAAGCGTCCGTCGTATAAAAATGATAGGTTTAATGGCTCATAAATGAATTGTCGTCAACGTGCTCCAGTTTAGTGAACAATTATTTTAAACTGTACGTTTACGCGGTTGTTTTTGATAAGATTATGTTAACTGTAGGTTCAATATAAAAAATAAAAAGAACTGTAAAAACCTTATCAATAAACATTTCCATATTTACATGTTCGTGGGCTATTCAAAGCGAAACATGTAAATCCTGAAACCGATTGTGTTCTGAATTTACATATTCAACTTCATGAAACTAAACCACTGGCTTCTCTTTTGATTTCAGCAATTTTATTTACTGTAATACTCTACAGTTTTTAAACTTGTTATAAGTTTTATTCCAGCTTCCCTAATAAAATTCTGTTTAAGAAAATATAAATTTCTTTCAACTCACCTGATATTGAGATCATGGCAAAGAACCAAAATGTGTTGATAGTCATAAGTGGAATTGGCAAGCATGTGAAAAATACAGTCACCAAAAGGAATAGTTTCCTGGAACAAAGATTGGATTAGAAAAACACTTGTGATATATCGTATCGTGCATAACCCTTTGTAATGTCTGTATTATCTGTTCTGATAGCAGGACCGAATAGAATAGAAAATCTGTCAGTCGAATAGAAAATTTCTCAAAAACATTTCTTCCCTATATTCATGGCTATCGTCAAACATAGCACTGATGAAGAACTGAATAAAAGTAGAAACGCCGGCCAGTTTGGAAAGTAAACAGCGTTTTAAACCAGTCCCAATCCCGCTATCAGAACAAATATTAGGCTTAGGGCACGCTACTACACGCATAGTTTTCAAAGTCTTTAAATAAGAACGGTAATTACTTTCCTCTTAAAAGGATTCATTACCTCATAGTTTAGGTTTTAATTACCTGCCACAAACGTCGCTAAGGGCTCCGACGAGAGGAGCGCTCAAAAAGCTGAGAATTCCTTTAATTCCCATGATCAAGCCATTCATTAAAAAGGTGTGATCAGGGAACGTTGAATTCAGCACCGAAATGACGGGCATTGTGAGCAAACCCCATGCAAAAAACTCTAAGAAAATTACCACCAGGGCATGGTATAATGACGGTCGACCAATGCCGGAGGTCTGAAAAAGAGAACAGAAAATTATTTTACAAAATCGCAATGTGAAAAACAGATACATCGACTTATACTAGTTTTACATTCCTTCATTCCCTAAAATGTTGCAAATTCTAACATTTTAACAAGTCATTTTACGCAGTATACACGTGTTTCATATATAGTTCATTCATGACTCAAGTTATAGATAAGATTATTTCTTTCCACGATACTTTACCCACAAGGATGGGGGCAAATTGTTCTCGGAATAATAAAAGTTGTAAATTTGCGATGATTAAGTCACAACAGTAACAGTAAAATACAATTTCTCAATGTGAACATTCATTTACAGTTTCATTGTGGCTTTTTCGATAATAACCAGAAATCGCAAACCTAATAAAATCGGATGCAAAATTCTGCTCATATTCATGCAAACGTGGGTTTTTAAAAATATGATTTATTGATCACCACAATACACTTTTTTAAGATAACGAATCAAATATTTTTTTATACATATACATACAGCTAAATACAATTTAAAATTAACAAATCATTTCAGGAAAATTTGTTATTGCAGTAGTTTGGACATAAAGAATCCAAATTGCGCATTGTTTCTTAAAACAGTTTACTGAATATAACAAATAGATATAAATTACAGTTAAGACAGTTCTACATATGTGTATGTAAAGGAGTATTTGCAGCCATTGGTTAATATTTGATGATTACGAACAATAATCTATTTTCGGCTCCGAGTGTTTAAAATCGTTCTAGTTTCCATTGCATTTCCAGACTAATCATCGGTAATTATCCAGAAGTTTTAAATACCCGTATTGGTCAATGATATATTACATATTAATAGTTGTTTTGCTGCTTAATGTAAAGCACTCATATTTTTGTTAATTCTTCATAAAATTACATTTGAAGGGGTTAAACACAAAAGGGTGCAAGTGATAAATAAAAAAATGGACAAGTTTAAAACTTGAGTGAAATATTGCTAATGAAATAAAATATAAATAATGTGATGGCAATAAAACAGAACAAATAGCAAGGAACTAGTGGCAAATTTTTCGCAGTTTGAAACCATTTCTATAAAAAAGTCGTGAAGGTTTTCATCTGCGCCCTCACTGATTCTGGTAGTTTTCTTTTTGTTGCGGATTGTTTTTTTATATTTTCTGTTTTACACTGCGCAAATACTCGTGGTGAGTTGATGAATGTAAGATAAAGGTTGGATGAAATTGTAACCATTTCTTGAAAATCTTTTGGAAAAATATTTCGGCACTCTTCTCTTTAAGCTGCAGCAGTTGACACTTCTTCCCTCTCATGGCGAGGCCCAAGTACTCCAGTTTTCGTCGTTTGATGGTTAGTACCACTTCCGCTTCTTTATCCATTCTCCGCATGAATTCAACGTTCGTCACTTTGTCCATCCCCGAGACTCCAAGCAACCTCCGATATACCCACATTTCAAGGGCCTCTATTTTCTTCGTATTGGCCTTGTTGAGAGTCCACGTCTCCATTCGATAGAGGAGCACAGGGAAAACATAGCATATAACCAGTCGCATCTTCAGCTTTAGATTGATGTCGTGACTGCCAAGAATGCTCTTGATGTTGATGAAAACGGCTCGCGCTCTTTCAACTCGTATTCTGATTTCCTGAGTGAAATAATTGTTGTTATTGGCTCTCATTCCCAGGTAGTCATACTTAAGTATGCGCTCTATGGGGCTACCATGCATGTAGATGTCATCGCTCACCCTCCGTTCTTTCGAGATAATCATAAATTGAGTTTTCTTAACATTGAGTGTCAGGCCCGGTTTCTCACTTGCTGTAACTACTTTGGTAAAAATTTGTTGAATGTTTTCTAGAGTTTCTGCGATTAGGGTCGTATCGTCGGCATACGTAATATTATTTATAGGCCTACCGTTTATTTCTATACCCATCTCTTCTTCATTTAGCGATTTTTTCATAACCTCTTCCGAATAAATGTTAAATAGCAATGGCGACATCACGCAAACTTGCCTAACTCCTATTTTAATTTGGACTTCGTCGGTTATATCAGTTTCAACTCGAACCACTGCTCTCTGGCCATAGAAAAGGCCCGTTATTAGTCTTGTCTAGGGTATCAAGCTGTTTTTTAAGTACTATCTCGACAAGTTGGTCGTGTCTGTCTTTAGCAAATGCTTCATTATAATCTATAAAACATGTATATATATCCTGGGTTACATCTAAACTCCTCTGAACTAAGATATTGACCACTCAGGATTAAACGTGGATCGTGGGGATGATTGTTTCTTCTGCCTCCTTGATCATTTCTATTACTATGGCGTAGCCTCCAGGGGCTCTGTTATATTTTGATATATGAAGAGCATGTTGTATTTCCTCCTGTGTTATTTTGGAGATGTCGTCCGCCCCACATTTCTCACTTTACTAGATTTAATCGTTTCTGGTTTCTTTATTTGTGAGATATATAGGTTTAGATAAAATTGTAATTGTAAAATGTGTATAGGTCTTGGTCATCTTTAGTATTTCCTTCTTATTTCTGGTTTCCCGGTGTTTGGAGTCTTTAGGGCTATTAATTCTTTCCTACCGTTGTTCCTCCGTAGGTATCTCATGTTTTTATTATTGTCAATTGCATTTTCTACTTCTGCGAATCCTTGCGTATCATTTTTCTTGTTTCTCCTGTGATCCCGCGATATTCTTCGGTGTTTTGTTTGCCTTGGCCGTACAAAGTCCTTCTTTTTTCTATCAGCTGAATCGTTTCCGCTCTTAGTTTGCTTGTTTTTCTCTTTTGCGATATTGAGTGTTGTCTCTTTAATTATCCTTGATAGGTGTGTTGTGTTGTCACTTGGGGTCACTGTTGAGCTTATATTTTCGCTTAATTTGACTTTCAATTCGTTTTGGTATATGATATTGGTTTCTTTTAGAGTGCTACTATCTATTGAGTCTGTGTCGTCTTTAATATATGCTTTCGGCTTCTGTATGCATAATTTAGCTCTGACTATCCGATGGTTGCTTCCTCTGTTGAAAGAGTTTAGAAATGAGATGTCGGTACAAACTTTCTTGGACGATGATAGAATATAATCGATTTTGTTACGTGTTCTGTTGTCAAGGCTCATCCAGGTCTATTTTCTTTGTATTTGTTAAAAAAGGTGTTCATTGCATAAAGTATTTTGTTCTCGAGAAAGTTGCATAATATATGTCCTCGTGTGTTTATTTCCCCTAGTCCTTGATTACCGATGTAGTGTTCGTCATCGGATAGCTTTTTCCCAACAATAGCCATGAAATCGCCAATAACCAGGTCATTATTACATTTGTCTTTGTCTAGTGCACTCCCGATGTCCTCATATAGAATATCTGCTTCTTCGTCTTCGTGAGTTGATGTTGGTGCGCATATCTGAATTATTCTGATTCGGTAGTCCTGAGACAACTCCAAGGTTACATATGCTACTCTGTCCGAGATTCCGTTGTAGCTTTGAATGCTTCTTGAATCATTCTTGGGTGTATTAGGAAAGACGAAAACAACAATTCTTGACTGATATTTTGTACATTTAGTTGTTTAATACAAATATGAGAGTTCAATGCCGCGATTCTGGACAATTTCTGTCAGTGTTATTGTGTACAAACAAATTAAAATATATAAAACATTAAATATCACAAAACACATGTTTGTACATAACAGTCTTAAAGCGTCATAAGGCCGAAACGATTTACGGAAACATATCTTATTTTCTTATACCTATTTCTTATGAATGTTGCACTGAACAAAAAGTCTCCAAAATTATGCGCCATTAGTTCTGAATCACCCTGTATATGAACTCTACTTGTTATGTAGATATAACTTCTATACATTACAGTATTTTTTTCAATTATAAAGCAGTAACACCCAAAAAAATCAAATGAAAATTTAAAGCCAAAACAGTCTAAATATTTAAGAACTTACCCATGCTTTTAAGAATAGAAATAAAATTAATTCTCTTCTTTCTTTTGGCTTTACTGCTACTTCGAAATTATTCTCAACTTCCAAATCCGATTGTGTATCCGAGTTCATTTTAATTAGACTTTTGCACAGAGAAACTAGTAGAACTTTACGGTACTGGTTTAGGAAAAAATAGAGATGGAAATCTCAGCACCACGTCAAATTGGATAAAGAAGCTTTATTAGCGCACATTGTCTTCACGCTTCGATGCCTTTATCTAAACTACGACACTAACTCCGATAAAACCAGTAATCAGTTAATCCTCCATATGGATTTTGGCAAAATGACACATACCTACCTATTTACTGACCCGATTAATTGGAAAAGTGTAGACATCTTACAAATCAACACGAAACACATTTTTATATCTTTTGATCACAATTAACGTGATGGTTTTGATTATTAGAAATTGTTCTCAATAATCTAAATATAAACAAAATTAACTAAATTAATTTAAAAAATATTCTCTTTTTGAATTGGTATCCAAAATTTGCATTGTGTTGCAAATGAATAAAAAATAATTGTTCAAATGAAGAAACAGGTCACAACATGTATCAAATTGAACAAGCTTTGTAATAATTAATCACATGTATTTGAATGTATTAGGTACTCACCGGAAAACTCAAATAGCATCTTTTAAATCTTCTAAAGTTGAGCACATATCTTTTGATACAATAATAGAACACTAATAGGCACATAGTATGATCATATCCCTCAGATGGAAAGTTAAAAACTAAATAGTACTAAAATTCAGTCACACTAACTAGGAAATAATCGATCACTCATCGGTCATTTCAAACCACTCGAAATGGATGTTCAAAGAAAACTCTCACTTGGAGAGAAAAACAATACGCACCTAATAAAAAAATGTCAATACTTATTTACATTGATATCATCAGTCTAATCGGCGAATTGTCAATGACTATAGGTACAGGAATTATAAGAGCATGTGAATATGCACTATTTAATTTTCACTGTCATCACCTTATCAAGACTGAATCGAAAACTAAAATCCGAGGTTCCAATGCTATATTGTTTAGATTCGTCTTTATCATTTGTGATAAAACACTGATAAAACCATGCAAATAAGCTCTCTAGATACATTTTTACATACATCGAGTCTGTGGTACTGTTTAAATCTGAACTATTTCTGTTCTCACCTAATTCGAACTACATTCTTTGTTCCCAGAAGATTTTATTTTTATTTTTGTAAGATTTGAAAAATCCCCAAGTGTCATAACGTATCGAGGAGTGTGATTTTATTATATGAACAATAGAGAAATTAGTCTCTATTTTCGTAGTTCATATCATTCATAATTTGGATCAAGACATATTTTATCTATTCTTTTAATAGAGACGCATTGAGTCCAACTGTTAGTAATTGTAATTTGAAATCTTTCTTATTAGCATTAATATTACACAATGTTCTTCTTTTGCGTTAAACGTTATCAACGCTTCATCTTCTGTGTCGCCCAGCACTTCAGCAAACTTATTTGATTTCAATTCATAATTCATTCAACAGGTTTATATTTCGCAATTCATTTTTTATTAGGTATTTTACATTATCTTGAATGAAAACTATGACCAAGCGGTCATTTGCAAAGAAGAAAGGACGAAAATACAAGACTATATAGAAAACTAAGAAAAAGAGCCAGAAAATTAATGAGAACAAAGAAGAGGCTGCACGAGCAACGAAGACTTGAAGAAATGGAAAGAGATAGCAACCATAACAGGTCCAGAAAGTTCTATAAAGAAATTTCAACTACAAAAAAGGCTTCAGACCTAAGGCGGAAACCATACGTAAGAAGGAAGCATAACGACCAACAGAAACGAAATAGGGGACAATCAAAAAGCAAACAAAATAAACAGACTACAACCGAGTACCAAACTGCAGAACCGCCGGTAGAAGAACCCACATACGGGAGTTCCACTTCAGAACTAGTTGACGGTTTATTTTCAGTCTCTACTAATTTATTACAATCCTCAGCATTAATTTATTTTTTTTTCAAATTGAGGAATGCATTTCCTGAAATATCTCCGATTACAATCACAAGAGTTGGTTTCAATAGCTCTAGAATTTGTGGGTTCTAATCATAAACTTTCTTAAAATCTAATGATAAAAGCGATATGATTCTGAGCTCCCGTACGCGGAAATGACTTAAACATGTCCGTGCAGATCAGAGTATGAAGGTTTTCACTTTAGTACTAACATACAAACGAACGATCGTTTCTGAAGCATCGCAATTCACCGCAATCAAGAGTGGAGGTGTCAAAAATTATGGAGGTTTAAAGCCATACTAAGCCTGCGATCATCCAGAGGTAAACGGGAGATCATTTCGCTGCAGTGCCTCAACAATTGCCTATAGAAGACATCATTCCCATGTCGATAGTGGTATATGTATACCTCCAACCAATCCTCCAGATCAAAAAAGTCCAAGTCCCACTGTAGTCAAGAGAACGGAGGACTGAGGAGGATAGGAAGGTCGGAACGTTACTGGATACTACCACATGCACATGAACAGAAGTCCAGCACGTATTCTTCGGACATAATTCAAAAAACCACCTACCGGACTCATAAAAGACTGTCAGCCGTTTCAGGGAACATAAATGGTCTAAAACATCAGAAGCTTGACCACCGAGACTATGGATTACCGAAGATTCATAAGTCAGAAGTGCCACTTGGACCAAATGTGAGCACTATAGTGTGTCCACCTACAAAGTCGCCACCAGATTATTCGCCAAACTCTTAAAACCAAAAATTGACCGCACTGAGAGCTTCAACTAGAATTGAAGACACTTGAAAAGTTAAAATGTGTTTACACTTCTTTTTTACGATGACGCCAGTGGAAGTATTCACAGAACAGATTCAAGGGTTGTTTCCTTACGATATAGTCAAACTTGTAACTAACCAAAATGCTTGTACAAGTTTAAAAAACATAAAAACGTCTCTCTCATAGCGAAAGAGTTTATCATTATAAGATAATTCTTGTCAGCGTCTCGCTTCTTTTGCCAAACAAGTTAGAAATTTTTTATTGCTAATACTTTAATAGGCGTAAATAAACAGTTTAACTTTGTGTACTATGTCTCATAAAACAAATGCCTTGTCTATCACCGACCGCACTGAAACTCACACTGCACTATAATAATAATGAAACAAAAACTTGGATGAATTGTTATCCTGTAATCAATAAGTTGCAATCGTACTGAACGGGAAAAATTCAACTGTTACCTAAATAATTAATGACCACGTCTTTAATCAATAAATTATTTATGGGTAGTAATAATTATAGCTTTCTATTGCGGAATAGTAATTAAGTACATGATTGGTATAATTTTTCGCATTATTCCAGAAAACCGAATTTTCCTGTATAGAACACACGATCGGGACGAAGTCTACTGATGATCTGTGACCAATAAAAATATATTTCAATGATTAATCTTAAAATGAAAAGATAAAACATGTTAAGCGCTTCATACAACGCAAATAATAGAATGGGCAATTTTCACGTAATTACTGATAGCTTTGTAGAATTAATGAAGTATCGGATGCATGACTATACAAAACATTGCTTGCTACAAGGATTTATCATCGATTTTTCCAAGCTCAGATCTAATCTTTACAACCTACAAATGCTATAAACTCGAATCTTATCATGAGACCAAATTAAATAAAAGCATTTGAAACACTTTTCAAAGATTGCCCTAAATATGAGTGAATCAAACTTCATATGTATCTTCAAATCTAATAGTGTTAACAGCTATTAGGTGGTACATACATATAAATTTAGAAAATACATTTAAATAAAACTAATTGAATGTCAGTTAAATTTAATATGGAAGAAATATTGTTATTGATGAGCATTACCCGCAGTCATAATCTAGTTTAAATCTAGTTAAAGCTAATAAGAACGATTAAATCTACACTCACTTTCAAAAGTTTTACACCCCCCTGTATTTACTACATACGTTTAATTTATACAAAATTGTTTTATTGGTAAATAAAACATACTTGTTTACAAGTAAAGGAACTGATTGAATAATAAAAAAATTGTTTACCCCTTTAAAATTGTGATGCTGATTGATCACTAGTAGCCGGCATTAGTATCTGAATCGTGCAAGAATCGTGAAGCATGCCTAGAATCGAGTTGTCAGATCATTTTCAATCGGAATAATCCACCAAGAAATGCCCAAGATCTTATTATTGCTGCTACAGAGGAATGGAAAAATATCCCTCAGGAAGTAATCAATAATTTGATTATTGGAATGGATATACGTGTGAATGCGTTGTTAAGAAGTAGATACTCCAATACTAAATATTAATTATGTTGTTGAATTTATTATTTTCAGTTGTTCTTTAAAAATTGCATTTTTTATATTAAAAATTTTTGCATCCGCACTGTAATTTTCTTTTTATAACTGATAATTCGTTGGCATTAAATCTATTTTGCGGTTTTAGAAGCTTTTAATCTATATTTAACACCGGGGCCTGCAAGGTTTTACCAAATTTTAAAATGTCCAAATAACTAGGGGGTTGAAAGAAGACTTTTGAAAGCGAGTGTACTTAAAATTCGGATTTCATATACATACAAACTTACTTTTCTGTCTGTGGATTAGAACATTTTCCACTTGCAGTTGTTTTAGAAACCTGCACGTATTCTTCTTACTAATACAACTTCAAATATCCATCTGAATAAAGTGTTTCAAAAATGAGCATAAACTTTCTTATTTAACTAAAAACTCACATTTTATCGAACATGGTTTGATTGTTTACCCCAATTGTATTAACAACAAAACAATATTTACAAATCCATTTATTCTCAATAAGTAAACAATCTTTGAAAAGGAGTTGAACTGAAACTCCAGGATACATTTTTGAATGCTTATTAGCGCGCACTTATTTAGTATCAAATAGTTGGACACTGTTATTAAAAATTGCCAAAAATGCCATTATTTTTTAATGGCGCTTATCAATTTTCTTAGCATCATTCAGATGACAATTGCATCCTGAAGTAGATTATTTATTTAAGCATTCGGAATACCAAACATCAGTCGTTGTAGAATTTTTCTGAATCATTTAGTGAACGATTGTTGAATTATATGGCGTACCTACTTAACAAGCCAAGGATACTGATAAGTTACGCAATTTCTTTTTTATATTTGCATGATAGCGATACTATTTAAGTATCAGGAATGCCACTTTCAAACGATACCAACAAAATTTAGGACTGAAATTAAACGTTTTTATCTTTCAAACAAAATTTAATTCCGAATCCACAAACGGGCTTTCAGCTATCTTCGAAATCGCAGGTTTTCACTTGAAACGCTCTGCAAGATATTTTTCTACACACAAATATATTTTTTTTCGTGAAAAATCGCTCATCATTAAACCTGGGATGTTATCACGCAAAATTAGCCGTTTAATCAAACCATGCTAAAGAAAGTTCACTTAAAATCAGAAAATCAGTACTTAAAGTGTACAATATACAGGATGGGCCTGTGAAAAGTTTCCACCACTAGTTTTGCAGTTGTTGAGCAAAAAAATACTCGACCACGTCAATTTTTGCTCAAAAACGGATTACTTTTTCCTCTACTTTGTATACAAGAAAAAGCTGCGTTTCCTAAATATAAAAAATTAAAAATAATTAACGTTTTCGACTATAAAATCTTTCGATTATAAAATTATAAGTTCGCTGTATAAAATCTTGGTGAACACTTTTCATTGGTCCACCGTGTATATTGGACTCGGTATGATCAATTTCGGTTGCCAACTAAATTTTATTTAAGATTCTAAACGAGCTGTAAACTGTTGATGCAAAAGCTACGTAAATCGAAATATTTGCAAAGCAGTGAAAATCATTTCCTTGTCATTTTTTGTGCAAATATGTCTAAACTTATATTCTCTATTCAAGTGGACTAAAATAATTAGGTTCAAATACCCATTGCGACTAATCCACACAAATAGTCCAAAATATGGCTTTTAGGCCGTTCAGCAGAACGCGTTCTAAATTATAATAAAATTGTTTCTTTAAGAAATGTTTGAATTGCTGATGTATAATTTTAACATCCAGACACGTATATACTGACTCATAAAGTAAACTTTTTTTGTCGCCGCTTTGGTTCCTTTTTATATTATTTATTAATGATGTAATTTTTTTAAAGTTCAATATCAATAGATAACAATAAAATATATTTCTATTTTACGCTATCCTTTAGACATTCGACATTTTTGTGTGCTCGATGCGTTCTCCTCTCCCAAAGAAACGAAAGCCAGAAGGCATTCAGAATAGTTTGGAAAAGGTAGTAAGAAACTCCCTGTATACTGGATTATCTGGTTCAAAAGAAGACGATCTGACCAAACTTTTATTAAGAAAAAGTTTTTGACGCCCCTGTTATTGATGGTGAAAGTTCTGAAAAAGTTATGTTTTTTGAAACATCGGGAGAATGGTATGATGGATTGGATAGCACCCTGTATATTTTTTGGGAATAGCGTTCTAAATAGAGATGATAACGTAATGACTTTAGTTAAAATAATGTATTTCAAAAGTGGTCTGAAAAACAAATTAAAAAACGTCTTCAAGTACAACGCTCTCCCCTAAAACTGACGATGCACGCATGAGTCGAAAAAAACCTGAAAACAAAAATTTACCACTCCGGAAAAATCCGGTTTTCATTGAGCATAAAATGCTTATTGTGCGCCTGATCTGAGTTGTTGTTGAACTGGATTGTTTCATGAAAATATGTCTTACATAAGAACACGTTCACAGCGAGTTTCAGTAAAATACATCGTACCATTCTCCCGATATTTCGAAAAGGATAAATTTTTTGAAGAACTTTGACCATTAATAGCAGAGGAGCTTACGGGACACCCTGTATATTGATTTAATCAACCGTCAATACCATATTGTGTTAGCCTTTATTACCAATAAAAGAAATGTATGGATATTTTCAAACAAATATTTGGGAATTAACCATTTCTTTTAACAAGTATTACATTATCGCATATTTTTTGTGATGTAAAAGTTGTGCGATTTCAATTTTTTTTTTCGAGCTAGTGCTAATGAACTGATCAAGTAGAAGATTACGTACACAAAAAATGTAAAAGAATGAGTGTTACGTCCAAAAGACTGTTTGGTCTGAAATTAATAGGAGCGTCTTTTACATTCAAAGTTCTTCTGTTGAAAATGTTAGTAAATATTCGATGAAGTTGATTGATATTCAGTTATAATTAATATAAAATGCTTGATAAACTCGGAACTAGTTTATGAGGGACAAGCATTCGCGCGGTTATTTCTTCATAGTTGCATTCTAGAAGGCGGGTACTCCTTTTGGACCTTGCACAACTCAAAGATAGTGTTTATCATGACAAGTTAGGCGCAAAGACTAGTGGCTTTCCATTATAATTATTTCGCGTGTTCTATCAGTCAATGTTATATTGTTTCTAGTTGTGAGGTATTTTGCGTAAATTTCCTCTAATATTGTTTCCGATCCGGAAATAGCATTCTGTACCACTTAGAGAACAAGATACTAATATTGTTAATATATTGGATAGATACTAATATGGTCATAATATTGGTCAAAGGTATTAGAAAGGTACCTGAGGATTATTATTGAAGCCTACGATAGAGATAACATTAAGCCTTCGATAAGAATTTTGAGTGAAGATTTGACGACCTAAACAAATTACAACCTTTACAAAAATATCTCGGAATAAATTTCACTTTGGACGCAACTTTGTGCTAGTTAAACAAAGTATTTTTAAATAAAAAAATCAGAATAGACCAGCTATTGCTACCTCCAATTTCATAAATGTCTTGATTCAAAGTTCAAACTTTTGCATTGAACTAGCAAACTAACATAAATTCCAAAATAAGTATTAAGTACTGTATTAAAAATGTTAGTACGGTGATTAAAGTAATGGAAGGAACGAATAGTTCAACTTATTGCATTCTAGCAGGGCAACGATTAGTGTATTTGGATTTCAAGGAGCGCTTCGCATTGAATTTTCTATGTCAATGGGCCAATTCATGATCGTTATTTTATAGCCTAAAGTTTAAATCAACTAAACATCGACTAAACATGCTTTTGTTCTTCAAAACACTGATTCTTGCTAAACTTCATCAAAACTCTCGAGGAGTTGGGGATAACTCAAGAAGCTCAACTAGATGGAATGTTATTTGTTACAAGTTTAATTATATTTTACATTTTGGACATCATATTTAATACAATCAATTTTAAATATTGATAATAAAATTGCGTTTTAACAACCGCTTATGGAAATAAAGAAACGAATGAACGCTAACAACGTTTTGACGTATCATCATTCTTCAGGATTCCTAAAGAATTATTTCGGTATTTAACATTCCATTTAGCAACTCCATTAGACAATTTAAAAAGTTCTTGTGTGATTTAAAGATTATGGTTGCAATTTATATTTTTACGAAATAGTGCTAATTGAAGGCTCAACAAGGGACTAAAGAACTTTTAAAGAATTTTTAAAAGAAAACTATTTCATAGTTTTCTTTTAAAAATGAAAATTCCGAATATGTGAAATACAAATATTTAAAATTAAAAAGTACCTTTGATATGGAATTAATATTTGCCCTTTTTAAATAAATAGTTGTGATTAGCTGTTGCCTGCAAGTCTGGACCCTAAATGTGATCAATTACTTGTTGAGAAACGATCGACACTTTAAAATGACGATATTTTCAATTAATTTATTAGTTGTTGAATTGATTAGTTCAACATTTTTTTCTTAATTACTTTCACACTCAAAAGCAATTTACTTTGTTTCATTCGGATTTCAGCCAAAATATCAACTTTACACACATCTAGAGTTTGGCCCCGAATGTCAGACTTTAAGATCTGTCCGCGGCTTTGCGCCAAATTATCCCCGTATTTTCACATTTCTTCTTCGTAATTTTCTTCTCTTCCAGTAATTTAGATTAACAACGACTGAACAAAAGCCTGTTTAAAAACAGGCTTTTTCAAGCATCTGAACTATCGTTAGCCAAATAACTCGAAGGGAATTCGTAACATTTAAAGAGATAGGAGCAAAAAATCAACATTTAAAGGCGCTCGACTTAGTTGATGATAATTTTAAACGCACCTAGGTATTCATTTAGAATAGTTTTGAATAAATTGCCTTTAACCAGGCACAGAGGTTTAAATATGTACATATAGTAAAAAAGTGAATTATTTGGAAAAGCTTACGCAACAAGACAATGAACATTATCAGCTTGTCTGTAAAGTGTGAGATATAAGAAAATAATCCATTGATCAAGTTTTTTGATAAACTATGATGGTATTTATAATTTATTTGCAAAAGTTAAATTTTTCGAACTGTTGAGATTTTATATTAGGTAGGTAATTAGTAGTTGGATTTCTCTTTTATTTAGCTAATAGGCTGGTCAACAAGAAATTAAGAATCGAGATGTGTAAATGTACCATTAAAACGTATGAGAATGTCTAAAGTAATACAAGACTTATTTCAAAGGAAGCTACTAGTTTGCCTCTAATACTGACTCTTCTAGTTTTAAGCTGTTAAAAATTTCACTTCTTAAATATGATGATAGATAAGAATGTCTAAGCATTTGTGATCTGTTTCTCAATGAGACAATTTTCTGATATGAGGACAGCTAATAAAGTCTTATGAAGAGTTGACAAAATTACATACTGTACGAAGTCCTTCAGTCATGCTAAGCACTTGAATTCGATCAAATACTGTCTTATTTCTTCATTTTACCGGAACTATGCACTAAATGCGACTTGACAAACTCTAGCAATTTACAAAACAGTCCAAATGAAAAATCAATTACATGTATAACATAGTAAAAGTTGATTAACCAAATAACGTTTTCGAATAATGAAACTGGAGAGTTTGCATCAAAGAGAATAAGTCAGTTAAAAACAAAAAAACTGGTTTGTTTGTAGAGAAAGCATATCTATAAAGAGCAATTGTCAACTTACAGTAACAACCCCATCTTTGGCAATGGTTTTTCTGGAACGGATGATCATTCCAGCCACTCGCTTTGAGTGTTTTGCCTTCATTCTCTATGATTCCCGCACTGACTCAGTCTAAAATATCTTAATTCCTTCACTAACAACTACACATTTTGCTAAAAATTTTCACAAAACAGAGCGATTTGTACGCCTGCCCAACATCCCTCATAACCCTACGCTATTGACACAGGACAACTGACAAACCTGGACAAACGTCTCTTTCGAACTTCTTTTTGTGTTGCCAATGTGACATCTATAAATCAATTATACATATTCCCCAACCAAGAGAAAGTTAACGAACAGACATTATTCCGACGTTGCCGTTATTCGATAATGGGAAAATTATTATGTATATTCTATATAGAAATGTTATATAGATAGACTTTATCAATCATATCAAACTCAAATAATTAAGTATTCATTAGTTGCATTATTTTCACGTTTGTGGTTTGTCAAGCACTTTTACTAGAATTAAATAAAAGTGACAAGAAGTACTAAAACAGCGTTACCTACAGGTTTTTCACAATTTTACAAGCTTGATTTAAATATATGAAAGCATTTTCACTGGTTAAACATTTGATGCGATTAATAAAACCGCAGCATAAAACATGTCGATTATGCTTACAGTGGCATTTTGCACATATCCAATAAGAAAATTAGAATCCATATATTATAAAATTTACGTTATCGAGTCGTAAAGTAGTTTCATTTTTGCTTGGGGTCATAAGTAGTACTCATCTGAATACATGATGTGGCCGTTATAATTAAATAAAAAATAAAATTACTAATAAATTCCAAATAACATCGATAAAGTCGCAAAAGCCAATTATAGCATAATTGCAAATAATATTTATATGCTCCCGGACAACGTCACCATGCATTTAAAGTCACATGGTCCGAAATAAATTAAAAGGAAGAAGAAATACGACTACAACCCAGTAATCGGCCCACTAGCTAACTATTGGATCAGAGAACATACCCCCTTACCTTACCCAGAACATAGGGGTGATATTTTGTGCTATTGGATTCGCAACTGGATAAACCTTGTTCTATGCTTCGCAAGCAGTCTTTATCTATGCCCGCAAGAGTTATGGCTTTAACGCCTGCTTCAAAAAAACTTTTACTTCTCGGTGGAGTTGCTTTAACATTGCATGCAGGTTTTGTGTTCATAAAACCCTTAGTTGCACCTGAAAAGAAGGTAAATACCGATACCTTAGATAAAGTGAAAAGCATTTAGCTCACTTTGCCTCTGAGAAAAAATCGTAGGTAAGTTGTATTAGGATTTCTTTTAAGGAATTGTTCTTTTCCCACTCTTCTAACAAAATAAGTTCGACATTGTCCATCTTTTCAACAGTTTATCCTCAGTTTTTCCGACTATAAACGCATCACCCAAATCACGCTGCAATTGCGATTACGACTGCGGCCAAACGCACCGAAACCGTACTTTAATCCAGTAATAATAGACATTCTATTCGTCTAATATCATAATATATTTCAGGTTTAGATTAATATAAAAATGGGCTTTGGAGACACACTCAATCAACTACCTGAAGGTCAGTTTCTTATTGGTTTGCTTGTTTGTAAGCAACGGAAGAATGCAATAAGACATTTTCAGGGCTCAAGCAAGGCGATGGTGCGCCACAGAAGAACGATTTCGATCTAATCGCGTCGCCAGAAACTTCTTCAAAGAAACGCAGGGTCGAATTGAAAAAGCATGAATGTCCTGAAATTGGTTGTAGCGCTAAGTTTTCGCGCCCCTATCGGCTAAAGAATCACATTTTGACTCATCATGGAGATGCAGGAAAGCCATACAAATGTACTTTTGAAGACTGCAGCAAAACGTATTCTAGTCAATCGCATTTGAAACGGCATGAAATTGCAGCGCACCTTGGTGAAGATGTTGAATCAACGGAGGTTTTATGTGAGGAAGAAAACTGCGGACTGATTTTCTCCAATAAATATAACTTGAAAAAGCATATTGCACGCATCCACGCAGATTTACCGTTTGAATGTCACACGTGCTCTGAAAAGTTTCGACGAAAAAGTCAATTAAATGTACATAAAGTTGAAATTCACACAGAAGAAGCACCATATAATTGCAAGGATTGTCCTAAAACATTTGTTCAGTTCCATCAATATCAGAAACATCAAAGAAGCCACAAAAACTACAAATGCGACTGTGACGAAATTTTCAGTAGGTGGACAGAGTATTTGAAACATAAGAAAACTAGTTGCTCCCTACCAAAAACGCAGTATACTTGTGCGATTTGCAACAAAACATTTAGTCTAAAGCAAAATTTAGCCGAGCACTGTCTTCACGTGCACTTGCCTGATAGTCGAAGCGAGGTCTTTAAATGCTCTTATATAGACTGTAATCGATCTTATCATTATAAGAAGAATTTAGATTTCCATATAAAAAAATTTCATAGCCAGATAGTCGACTACCATAAATGTACAGTAGAGAAATGCGGGAAAGTACTGAAGTCAAAAAAAAATTTAAAACAACACTTACGGCTTTGCCATAGTGATAAACCTTTGACGGAAAAAGTACGCAGGAAACCAAGAAATAATTAAATAATAAAGAAACTTTAATCAAAAATTAAAACCTCATTGTGTTTTCGTATTACTAAATAAATAGTCTCAAAGTTTTAAGTGGTTTATCATTTTCCAACAAAACTAGTAGATTTCTATAATTAATTCAGTGAGTTTAGTGGCTATTAATGTTGTAAAAATATGTATTCGATAAATTGCCAGTAAATAAATGAATTAATTTATTTTTAATGTTTGTGTACATTTTTTAAGTCTGTGGTGTACCTAAATTCTTAAAATTCAATGAAGAAACTGACAAGGTATTGTTATCAATTGAATGCGTCAATTTTTAACGAATATATTTGTAAAAATACTAACAATACACAGTATTAATATTATTAGTTCAAAAAAAATGCAAATTATATTTTATACACATTATATACATTGAATTAATATTCATCGTTGTTAAATTTATAGCACACAAGTCAATCTTTGAGATGGAACTTTTGATAACTTTTACGAATATCCGATTTTAAACAATATTGTTACCTTATTGCTTAATAGTTAGTAAATATTAACAGTTTAGTCAATATATTTAAAAATATGCAAACAAAGTAACATTTACCTTTAATACCCGAGCAAAAACGCTACAGGGTTTTCAACAATCCGATATTCACATAATTAAAGCTTTATTACTATTGACCAAACATGAGATTTAACCTTTCAGCTATAACATTATTTTATTGTGCAGTTCATTGACTGGCTGAGTATATTGTCATTTATCTTATGCTTATTGGCAATCAAAAACAGGTATATAAAAATACTCCAAAACGCTCAACAAGACATTTTAACGTTTATAAAAATATGTAGTTTTTTGATTTCATATTGACAAGTGTTTTTCAAGGTGGGTCATGGCTGCGGCATGGCGACATCCTGACCCGGGTATTTCCAATAAGATTTATATGCAGTGCATTTCATAACAATTGAACATTCTACCAATGCTGTAGAACAATCGAAATCTTGAAAAAATATGGAGTTTTTAAGAATTATCATAAAAAGTTTAAGTCTATTATAGATTAGAATGTAGTTAGATAAGTTATTAAGATTACTTTTGGGCACTTTATAGATAATTAGCTAATTAAAATTTAGCTGTTATTTTTTAATAATCCCTGACTGGCTATAGGAACTACCAAGCATTTGTAAATTTAAATGTTTAATGTTGACATATGGCTTTCGATCTTACACTTGTTAAGTACAAAACGGCGTTGTTGAACTCAGCTTTATCAGCCTATTATGACTCGCACTGTATAAATACACCATCGAATTGTCTATTATCAAAAATTCCATAGAAACAGTTTTATAAACTATATAATATATTTAAAACACTTATATAATAAATATTGTTAAAAGAGGTACAAATAATTTTGTGCTTGACATTTTCCCTTGTGCGTCTTCTGCCGTGTGTAACAACTAAGTTTAATCATCCGTATTATGAAAGTGTAAAAATTGACCAACAGACTTACTTTGAAAGATATTTCCAGTTTTCCCTTACAATCGAACCATAGATTACATCTACAATTATTTGTACCTCTTTTAAGAACAGTAACTGCAAAAATCGAAAATATTTCACACGATTTTTTTAATGCGTGAAAATTTTTCGGTTTAATGTGTTAAATTACGCTGTTGCGTAGCAGACTTTAAAGTCTATAAGAGCACTTGAGTTCGATGATATAGAGAGGATTCAGAGTACCTTATCTATGCTGAGGCTTTTTGCAGACAACGACCAAGCATTTAATTAACTACAGTGTTATTATAACCAGAATTTTCTAATGGCACTTTATATCAGCCGAACTAGGATTTCCCAAAAAAGCTCTTCCAACCGGTCACAAATCAATAGATAAGGCACTTTCTAAAAATTAATTAAAAAATTTGTACAATTGACTAATGATAATGATTTTTGGCTGACGTTCGCTTTTTAATGAAAAAATAAATAAGGATGAGTTACTACTATGTAAAAAGCAAGGCATTTGCAATCCAGTATAGATTTTGTGTCGGTTCATTACCTAAAACAAAAAGCAGTCAGGATATTGTGTATAGGGGAAGTAAAACAGATAATATATATATATTTCGCTTATTCGAATACCTCCGGTTGGTTCTGCATAATTATTTTAAAAATAATTTATTTAATATAACAGTGATAACTGTAGTTATTAAAATTACCCAATTTGGACGGGTGGCGCATTGCATGTGTCTCAGCATTTCGATACACTGAAAATAAATCCCTGTGATTGGATGGCCATGTGACGTTTAGTATGAGGAATACCAACGAATGTTATTTATTTTTTTAGTATTGGCAAATATTGCAGGCACAGGAAAGACTCTTTGGGATTGGTGCCTCTACCTATTTTTAAAAAAAATGCATAATCGATCATTGTGCTGCCGCTTGTCATCGTATATTTGGTACTTGACTAGTCAAAACGAGCTTGTTTGTTATGTTTACAACAATTTTGCAATTGAAGAGAATTAGAAACATGTGCAAGGAAACAAGTTCAGCACTGGGCGGTGCTACGTCTATAATGTCAGATGAGGATTCGAAAATATCACTTTCGTAAAGGCATAAAGACAACCACTTGCCCTCTTTGTTACTTCCACTCTTCGATTATAAAAAGTTTATCAATTTTTCATGCCGCTGCAACATCTCGATGTTGATAATGACCTTGAAATATCTGCATTCCGATTTCCACTTGTAAAATGTGCTCAAAAGTCTGGAGTTACCAAAATGTTCACATATACTTAGAAATTTTTTTCAATAGGCATATGTTTATTGTTATAGGAAATTGACAAAATACAACATAGGGCAATAAATAAGAGCTTGTATAGCGGATTAGGGACTGGATTAAAATCATACACTCTAAAAATGGCCAAAGTTCCGACCATCTTGTTCCCAAGGCTAGAAAGACAGATGAAACAGAAATAAATATAAAATACCAAAGCTCTATGCAGCCAGTTGTCCAGTCAACCAACTATTTGTTAATATAATTGAAATATTTCAATGTAAAATGTTATCGTTATTATTATTACGCACTTGACGTCGGAAACACCGCGAATCACAGGAGCTTATTTTCTGTAATGCTGAGGGAAATACCATATGCGGACGGATGAGTGAGGGAGAGCAAATTAATAGTAAAGAAATCAATGATTTGGCTTTTTAAAGAACGTTTCCACTTGAGAGCTTTAATTTTAACCGACGAAGCAAAATGTTCCACTGCGGACACGAAACCATGTACCATATCATGATCATATATTGATATACGAGGGCGGTTCGATAAGTACTCAGCCTACAGAAAAACCGAAAATTTTGGAAAAGTGACGAGTTATTTCTCAACATAGTCTCCTTTCAATTCGACGCCCCAACTTCTTTAAACCGTCTGAGAAATTAATTTTCTCGAGGTCTGCAACGTAGGCCTCCGTGGTGACGATGACCTTCTCACTGAAATTTCTGTCCGGCGAGTGTCTTGGCTTCAAGTTTGTAAACAAAAAGAAGTCACACGGGGCCAAATCTGGAGAATACGGTGGATGGGGCAGCAGTTCGTAGCCCAGTTCGACCAATTTGGGTCTTGCGACGGCGGAGGTGTGAGCCGGTGCGTTGTCATGGTGGAAGACCACTTTTCTTCGCCAAAACCTAATGGGGCCGTTTTTGTGCAATGCGACGTCGAATCGGCCCAATAATTCGATATAGTAGAGCTCTGTGTTTTTTCCTTCTCCTGAACACTGAACGCTGAACAGTCTTCGCCTTCTTCTCTTTAAACCAAATTTTACATCGCCGGCAGTCGCCATCGAAGGAGTAGTCACCGTACACCGCAGCCAAGGGCTCTTTGACTTCGCTTCGTGATTTTCTTTCCAGAAACAAGAATCGAACGACTCTCCGATATTGCTCGTTTAATTTTTCTGAAATCCGCAGACGCCCGCTTCCACACGTGGTTAATACAAAACTACGATTCCGATACGGCTGATATGGTGATAGTAGCCGTCTGCGAGAATGTACTACACGATAGTAAATTTCTCATGCGATAGGAGCGGCCAAGCTAAGTACTTATCGGACGGCCCTCTAAAGGGCTGGTGCAACCAAGACGAAGTGGAAGATTATGGCAAATTGGTGTGTAATTTTGAAATTATTTTGTATGCGATATTGCATAAATTATTTTCGTTATACAGGGGGTTTCCAAAAATTCGTGGCAAATCAAAATGATGTTTTTATTAATAGAACACCCTGTATCAATATGCTGCAATTGGTTTTCTTACAAATCAGGATAATTTTTGGATTAATGCAATACCCTGTGTCAATGTTTCGCAATTGGCTCTCTTACTAAGAAGGATAATTTTGATATAAGGTTTATTGGGTGTGTAATTTACCAGATATAGACACTTAACGTTGAAAACAGGGTCATTGGAACAGTACTGTACCAAGTTTGTAAAATAAATTGAAAAATGGGACCTGTCCTGTCGAAACATACCCTGATTCATTCAAAAAATGCACCAATATACAGAAATTTTTCATAAATATTACTAACTTAATTTTAACACCTCATATATTGTTTTGTTATCTTAAAGGCCCTTCAACAAGTTTTCAGAAATTTCTAAATTGCCAATACTTCTGAGTCACAAGTTTCTGAGCAAATCGGTTGCAAAATCTACTTTTTGCAGAAATTAGCGTCATTACACTCCCATTGCGAAATTAAAACAATAATTAATGCACCTGAATGAAAATTGAAAAATTACAAAATAATTTCGAATTTACGCTCAATTTAGCCGCAATCTTCCACCCTGTATAATTGCAAATTTTACTTAGTTATTTCACTGAGTTCAGTTACATAAAGTATACTTAGAAATCGACATAGAGTTTAAAAAGGAAACACTAAATAAGAGTTTACATTTGCAATACAAACCAAAAATAACAATTTAAATGATCGATAATATTTTCAGCAACCCGCGCGTTCTGAAAAACATTGAAATAAATAAGCACCTGATGCTTATTTTGATATGTTTAGCTATTCACGTGTCCAATAGCTGTACTGTAAAGATATCTTACCTATACTTTCCGTTAATTTGAGCAGTTCCACAAAAGCCCATCTAACAACCGTGTCTCAAACTTCATTTGAGGCTAAAGGTGGTGGAGCCCCCAGTCCGTCTCCACCGCCATCATCCTTGTCCTCAATAGCGGAGTTGTTAGTATGTTGTGACTTAGACAGAGCGACTTCCGCTTCCAAAGCACGGATACGATTTTCGTGTTTCACTATCATGGCTTTCATTTTACGAATCTCGTCCAGAAATTCTTGCAGAGCTTTTTCCTAATTACAAAAAATACAGTAGATCAAATTTAGAGATTACAGATTCAAAAGTACTCTGACCAATTTTAGAAGGCGATTGTTGGCATTATTTTAATATCAAACGTTCTAATTAATAATCGAGTGTCTTCAAGGGCATTGTTACGAAAATACAGGGTGTTAACGTTTTATTAAAAATCATATAAAATTATTAAGATAGTCGAAACCGCTTGCAATATAAGAAGAAAATGGCGCGCCACTAATTTATTAAAAAATACATTTTATGCTTTCAATGATCGTTCAATTTCAAACAAAAAAGCCCGCTTGAGTTTTTTCGTTCAACGCACCTAATTCGAGGGAAAAAATAAAATTATATTAGTGCACGTCTTAGTTTCACTGTTAATTACGTATGAGGGTCGTTTGATAAGTCAGTGACTTTTTGAATAAAAGATATTTTTTTTCAATATAGTCTCCTTTTAGTTCGATACACTTAGTCCGTCGTCTTTCAAATTTTTTTACCCCTTCCAAATAATAGAGTTTCTCCAGGTCCTCAAAATAGGCGATTGTTTCAATGATGACCTCTTCGGAAACTGGAAATAGACGCAGGGGGCTAAATCTGGAGATTATGCTGGGTGGGGTAGCAGTTCGTATTCATGGATTTTTGCAATGGCGACTACACACGAGTGCACCTGTGCATTGTCCTGATGCGTCTAACAGACGAGAGTTGATTTGAGTGTTGAATTTAGAAGTTACTACGTGGGAAATTAAAAAAGTAAGTGACTTATCAAACGACCGTCGGATGAGTCATAATTGGAGCTGAGCTGGATTGGTAGAAAAAAAAATAGAGTATATATAAATTGCAACAAATGAAATATATACAAATTTTACGATTTAGAAATGTTTCATGGCCCTTACCGATACTGCAGAACTGCCACCACTGTCCGCCTTTCCACTCTTAGCGGGAATTTTATTAAGCAAATTGCTTTTCCTAGCGACCGACACTGTTTTGGATTCCGGTGGCTTGTAACCTTCTTTCAAGGATATTACAATTGGTTCAGCGTCGCGGCCACCAATCCATTCCTCTGCTGTTAAAGCTGCAGTGTCTCCCACGGTATCGGGGTACAGATCCTCCTGAAAGAGTTCGGATTTTCTCGGAACAGTCATTGTTATAACCTGAAATGGTGAAAAAATAGATGTTAGCTGTTTCTTAGCAATATTTTTTACAGCAAATGATCTTTTCCACGATTGGATAACATATTTCATATATTCTGTGTTTGTCATAAAGCAATCCTTGTCAAATAAATGAAAAATTTTCCGTTTATGAACAAACCATTATAAGAGCGGATACATATTATAAGATGGCGTCCAGACAAACACACATTTAACGAATCCTGTTGAATTTACCTTTCATCCTCATCAGAAATCATCATCATCAAAAATACAGAAAGTGGCAATAAAACATATTGCCACTTTCTGAATTTGTCCATGGTTATCGGAATTTTTAATAATTACGAAGCAACAGGTATTTACGTAATGTTAATTAGGCAGATTACTTTGAAAAACATTGTTGCCGTCTTTCTGATATCGTTTTTTTTGCGAATTTCAGTTTTTAATAACAATTAATTTTTTTACTATTTTTTCTGTACTCCGAAAACACCTCTAGAGGAATGACGACAATTTTGAATCACCCTGTATAATTAAAACAAAAAATATTGTTCGCGCAAGTTTAGTTGCTGTAAAAGCTTGGTATCAACAGCCAAAATCAATGAAATGGAGCACCGGGAAATGGAAAGATTCCAATCTGGATACTTTCATAATATTTTGAAAGGAAATCTACCTTTGAAAATTCGGAAAACGCGTTTTGCATCACTGAGTCCTTTCGCGCGTAGCATCGTGAGATTTCACATTTTTATCAAACTACCATGTATATTATATGTTCTATGTTCTATGTTTTTTGACGTACTAATGTTTTTCTTTTTCCTTTGTATTGAAATAATAAAATTCACGACATTCGAGAAACGTTCCGACATACCTACCACAAACTTGTAAAAAAGTCTTGCATTAAAAAAACTGCCCCCAATGTGATAGCATCTGAATGTTTTTTAGAACATCAAGTTCTTAAAAAATCATCATTTAGATATTGTTGTATGTTGTGTTTTATAATTGCGATCATATCTTGGACACCCTTAAGTAATATCTGCATTATCGAACTCGAAACTATGTAACATTTGGTATAGGATAAGGTACTATTGAAATTTTAAGAGATGTGATGATTCACTTACTTGGCACAATCCCGAATTGTTTAGCCTATAAAATCTAGCTATCTCACAGGTTGTGACGTCACATCCTCTCTTTGGCATCATACCAATACCTCTTTGCGGATCTGGAGTTTGGAAGGTGTTGATATAGTGGACGAAGGGAGGCTCGGCTGTGATTTCGAAGTACCTGATTTGTAATAAAAGTTTCAGTTTATCAAGTCGCTTTTTCATTAAATGTGTTACATTGAAATAAATAATTAGCAAGAAGTATATATGTGCTACATAGCCATAAATACCACACGGATACATTTAAAAACATAGTTAATTTTTACCTGATAACCGAATCTCCTTTGCCACACAGAAATATTAAGTTCGTGTCAGCGTCGTAAAGCGGAAACATCACACCATTCGAAGTGTCTAATTCTACCATAACGATGGGCTCTTCTAAACAATCCGGAGTTCTTAAACTATATTGTCGTTCAGACATCTTCGAGAATCCCGTTGTAAACACTAATCCATGTCGAAGGAAAATAGCTCGAGTTGCCTTCGTACCTAGAAAGACAAAGTTATTTATAAACAAATGTATGTTCAGTTTATTAACAGAAATTTATTATCGTGATAATCCTTTTCTTCTAAACAATTTCTCGATTTAGAATGTATGGAATAAATAAATAATGTAAGTTTTCCTGACTGTAGTTCCAATGTTAACATCAAATTTCCTGAGTCATTTATTTCGAATTCACAAAATAGTTAATTTCTAAAACGTTCCGGTGTTTTTTCCCCATCCTCAGTTAGCCTGAAACAATTGTCAACACATTTTGTCCCATTAACTTATTATTCTAACATTTTAATTATTTTTAATAACGGTCACATTGTTTATTGGCACAGCCTGTCATACCAAATGTTAAACGCATTTACTATAAACAATGTGACCGTTAAAAAAAAATAGAATACAACTTTTCAAATGTTAGAATAGTTCATAAGTTAATGGGACAAAATGTGTTGACAATAGGCATGATGTAGGTACTCGTCTGCTATTGCTGAAAAAAACATAATTTTTTTGCAAAACACATTTTGTACGTTTTTTATAAATAATTTTATTTCAATTACTAAAGCCTCCTCTAAATTTTCAAATTTTTATTGCTTGGGTTGGAAGATATTTTAGCTTAAAATTGTTTCTATTTTTTTCGTAAATCTACAGAGATTGTGACATTAAAATATTCCTTTTTAAGTTCAATGAAGTAAAAAAAATTGCTATGTTCTTTCTACTAAGCGTTTTTGCGCTTGCCATTGCATTGACCTGATAATGTAAAATTGGAACTTGCCTTTATTCCTTTTTTTAAAGGTTTATGTTTTAACCCATCAGCCTCCTTTTAATTAATTATTAAATACTGTGAAGTTCATAGCAGTTTATTTAATCGTTGCTTGTTAAATTTAAATCAAAGTTTGATAAAGATTACTAAAACTGCAGCAAGGGATTTAAAATATTTAACATTATTTATCATATCATGTGGTTGTCTTTAATGTTCTTCCATATTAATATTGAACTTTTCTGATGAAAGAACATAATTAAGTTTTGTTATACAAATACTTTAATATGCAATATAATTTCATATAATGACCATCTAAAAATGATATCTGATGATGGTCTAGAAATTGAAACGACCGTCATAAAGGTTACTTACCTTCATGCGCGATGGCTTCAGATGTAACTTCTCCCGTTCGTGGATTTATTATTCTAATTTTCTTATCTTTGCAGGTGGTAAGTAACTCTGAACCATCCCAATTAAAGCAGGCACTGTACACAATATCCGGATGACAATCAATTTCAACTAAAGCTTCTCCAGTGCCTGTAAAACATTAAACGGTTATCGTTTACCACCAATCTAAAATCCATCTGGAGGGTCAATTTAATTAAAAACTATTCTATTTCTAAACGAACTAGTAAAATATACAATGAGTTTTTGTTTATTCCATTATTTATAAAATTCTGTTGCATACCTACGTTCCAAATAACGATTTGATTATCGCTACCAGCCGTAAGAAGAACATTTTGCGCGGTTGGATGCCAAAGCACCAAACCAACTCTTCTCTGATGATACACAAGGTCGACGATTGGTTCTGTAAGCGTTTTAATAAGGCCCCCATCAGGAATATGCCAAACCTTAATTTAAATAAAAGAAGAAATATAAATAATCTTAAATAACATTAATTTAAGCTATGCTGGTGTGGATATAGTCAACAAAATCATAAGAACTTAACTAAATTTATAAAAATATTAAATCTGCTTAAAAATTACAAAATGATGAAGATAATTCAAGAGACAAAACTGGGATTTGAGACAAAAGTGCTGTAAAAATAAGATAAGTAGAATCAAGCTTTCTACCTTGACAACACAGTCCTCCGATCCACTGGCGATAACGTTATCATTGTGCGGACACCAAGCTATATCTAAAACCGGTCCTTTATGTCCTCCTACTAGAGGATGATCAGCCGATATTCTACCCGAGATCTGGAATAAACATATACATTTTAAATATATTCGAAAGAGCATCAAATAAATGACAAAAATACAGACAAATTAAATTAATTTAAAATTATAACACACATTAATGCATAAATGTAGATCATCCAAATACAAAACGGAGAAATGCACGAAACAAACAGCCGAGCAGTAATATGCCAGGACCGCACTAAGCAAACCATTGTATGCCAAGTAAAATTCTATTTTATAGAAATACAGAATTACGAATTTCCAAAACATATAGAATCTATCTTTAAATAATGTATCACCACCAACTCCCCTACTTGTAAAAAGAGATTGATGTATTTTATGGACCAATCGTAAAAGCATTTTTTGGTGATCATGCACTGTGCCTATCTACATTTGTTTGGGTCGCTTGGTTTTGGAGAGGAGTCAAGTTTAAAATTAATAAATTGTTAGTTAGTAAATCTAACGTCTTATAACACTCATTACTCCCGTTTGTAACCCGAGCCGCAGATGAAGGTTGCAAATCTCCTGGAGGAATAACGGCAATAAAAACCGAGTATTATCTTGATGTTGATTCATTTGGTTTGATAAAACTAAACTTTGAAAATTTAATTGTTATTCGTAATACAGGGTTTCCCATAAGTATATGTTCAAAATGAGAGTGCGACATTCTTAGGCTCAAAAGAAGACAAGCTGACCCAACTGACAAACAAAATCCTAGGTGGATTTTTGCCTCCTTTAGATTCTGGAATGATGAAACTGCCGAGCTCCTCAGCATTGGGGTGCTAAATTATTGAGTGTCTTAGTACAAAAACTTGCAGAATGTTTTATCGTGTAACTGGAATCAATTCATTTTTTGTTCCGATTCAACATTAGTCCTTTCTAGTAAATACTTACTTTATAAACTTTTCATGAAATAATCGCAATGATGATGATTGTAGAAATAGTAATCATAAATAATGATGTAGTTTATAAAAAACATAATTTTTAGCATTGGTAAACTAAAAATAATATATTCTAAAAACAAAAACAAAACATAGGTTATAATATAACTACTCAAAGAAAAAAAGTTATAATAAAATCGAATGGTTTAAAACAAAATATACGCTTTGCATGCGAAAATGTTTAAAAATCTAATTTTCACTTAAAAATTAATTAACATTTAAGAATATTTTTTGCGTATACTTTTTACTAAGTCTAGTTCTTCGCTCGTTTATGATAGCACCGGCTTTGGAAAATAATCTCTCGCATGGAACTGAAATTTAACGTGTGTTTTTTTTGTTAAGAAGCAAGTTTTTCAAAAACTTCGCCTGATTGATGGGATTATTTTAAGGGTTACGTTAAAACCGACCATCCCTAGATTGTGTTCTTTTAAGCCAAATAATGCCGCAGTATCATTTTGATCATACGATTATACATTTTGATCATGACGAGCTTAGAAGAAACCCTTTATTTAAATTAAAACAGGTCGAAAAATTCGATATAACTGCCACTATTATTTATTTAACACACTGCGGGAATGATCATTACTCCCTTGGGATTAACGAGCATAATTTTGTCTCACTAAACAACTCATTATGAGTAACCTCACGTAATATGTTTGACTTTATATTCATAAGCAAATTATGACAATACTAATAACTACTATCAGCGGACTTTCTCTTGTACACCGACGAAATTTCTTACAAAAGTGTTTGCCAGCTTTATAACARTATTTCTCAAATTCAAGCACCTTCTGTCAACGAATAACGATCAGCCTCAGCGTATGTAACACATTTACGTATSTTTAAAGTGTAACCCTCATATTTATTCAATTAAAATAATCAMGTATTTTTGGAGCTTTTTCGATAACTCAAAATCATTTAATCACTATACTTAATCATTCTTGCTTGCTCTTTTCACTATACTTAATTTCAAACCTGACATAATAAAAACGTTTTTCATTTAATATTGATGAAATGGAATAACCATTTAAAGTCATATTGCCTCACCCTGTTGATTTTTTGCCAATATCACTAACAAAGTAAAATAAATCCTGTCGAAATGCAAAATTCGAAACGAGTCACAGTGAATCTGTAAAAATAGTACTCCGAAATATTGAAATGTAGTAAGCAGTTGCGATTACGTTGGGGTTGGACTTTGGCCAATATTTAAAATTAGAACATTTTGCCCCAAAAATAAATGTGGCATCCTCTCATCTACCTACTTTGCAAATAACTTTCAGCATTTGCGGCCCAATTATTTCCATAGTTAAATTGATAAAATGATTTAAACGTTGAACGGGTGTATTCTCTGTTAAATGAACCAAACATATTCCACTCAGTGCATTCAAGAAGAGCGACAGGAAGGCCGATTATTGAAAACGCTTTAAACATTACACGGAAACTCTTTATCACATAATAAATTTCCTACACAATAGATAATAAAACATTCCAGTGGGTCTGTAGACTTGTTAATCAGAACTCACTGGTATTAATTTATTATGTATGCATTTCTTCGCTTGTCAAAAGGAATGCAATGTGTGAGTCATACGATTGAACATATCAATGAATAATAAAGAATAATTTGCCCAATGTAATACACCAGCTAAAGACTGAAGAAATAAAAACTAATTCAGCTTAGTAATATAGATAGACAACAAATAATATGTGGGTAATTGTTCAGACATTTTACTTTAAATGCAAACATATTTAGAGCCATATACAAGGTGATCCAGTTTAATCGTGAAAATTTTAAAAGTTTTTCCAGTTTCTAGCCAACCTCGTTAATTTTCACTTTTTATCCGAATCAGTGGCGAAAATGACTAATCGATGGGCCTCTACAGGCACTTCATTTCTTTAAATCCCGCTAAACACTAAGCAAAGAAGAGCTGTTTTATTACTAATGACTGCTATATCACATTAGTAAACATGTAATTACATTGAAACCGTTGAATACATTAAATTTCAGTCAGTATCATGTTTTTAACGACTTGAAATAATGTTATATGTCTTCTAGCATGTTTGGGTGATTTTATGGTTGACTTTGTTGTTATTTTTACGACTTGTTCGTGTTTTAATACAATTCTAATTTTTATATTACGAACCGGTACATGTTTAATTTCACGTCAGTACCGAATTGTTTTTCTTTTCGAACTTCATGACCACTTGCTTGTTCGTAGATATAATAATAACAGTGCACGAAAGAGTTTTGCTAATTCAGTGAATTTATCTTGTAAAATAATGTGCATATAATTTAAGGAAGCCAAACTTACTCTTAACTGCAAAATATAGCTATTGTCCTTTAATTGAAAAATCTAGTTGGATATACAAGTTAACGCAGTTAAACAGTTAACTTACTGATTTCAAACTAAACAAGCAAAAAAGCACTAACTATGAAATGTTTAAGTATTCTATTCTTTTTAGCTAACTTTTCACTACCTGACTTGCTTGGTGTTCGCTGAAGTGGTAACTTGCGTGAATGCAGTTGTGCTTCTTAAATAAGATGCATACTAATTTACAAGATAGTTTTATTTCATTTTATCTCATGTCTGTGTATACATCGGCTTTCCCTTTACTTTTACTAATATTTGTCTATTTATTATAACCATTAGTGCTCTTCAGTTTTTGATGACTAAAAGTGGACCATCTTGTATACGAGATATACAGATTTACTTTTCGGGTGTAAGCCCTTACACTTATCATTATTTTTATCGAAGACTTTGTAATATATTAAACTGATTAAAGTGTCAAACAACTGAAGGGTTCTAAAAGCTGTGACTATAGTTATCAATAATTAAATAGACATTTGGAATAATCAAAATTCAAAAATTTTGTTTTGCACGATGAAACGAGCATGATGTAACGTGTATTTTTAATCGACTTTCAATATCACTTATTCTCACCTTAAAAAGTATCAAGATAACATGATAATGTTAGTCAATTATTGGCTGAATGAATAAAAAAGCCAGCATGTACACAAAGCATGTATAAATACAAAATTGTGGCAGATACACTATAATCAACAGGGAAACGATTTGCGATTATGTTTAGAATTTTATTTTTGTTTAGTTCATATGCACACTAAAACCGTCTCACAATTTTCGAAAATTTATAATATTATTTATCAGAATTTATTATATTTACTGGAATTCAGAACTTTTAAGAATTGTTCAATGCAGGCGTGTCCTAAAATGGTTGCGTAAGGACCGTTATGTCCAAAAAATTTTACGAGTTTTTTGTTGTGGTGGTATGTTGTCTGGTATCGCTGATAACCATACCTGCTGCCTAATGGTTTAACACTGCTTATCAACGGGCGTTTTAAACGTTCGAGTGCAAATGTGGCTGCAAGATGATGGTGCATTTGCCCACTCTGTTGAAGTCCCTTAGTATTTGGACATTAGACCAGCAAAGGTGGTCCAGTTCCGTGGCCCCCCAGGTCACCCGATCTAACACCACCAGGTTAATTTTTGAATGGGCGCGTAAAATGTCTGGTTGACGAAACGCTAGTGAAAACCTGGTGGTAAGAATTACTGCGCCATTTGAAGTCGTTTATAACGACTATCAATTTTTTGATTGAGTCTGCAGAGCCCATGCACGACGTTTGAACAAGTGTATTCAGCACAAGTTCAAGATATTTTCAGCTAATTTCTCAATATAAGTTTAGACAGATAAAAATAAAATAAATTAATACTCGAGAAACACATTTTTGCAAATAACGATCGTGAAGCAGTAGCGCCTTAAGGAACATTTTGCTTAATTAGTACTTAACTAAAAAGAAATTAAATTTTGCTACCATAAATATGCATTTGAATAATAGTTCGAGCATATTTTTTTCAGACTTAATTGAATTCAAACTTGTATAAAGGATCAATTCCCAAAATATAATACAAATAATAAACCATGTATTTTTGTAATCTATGAAAAGTTTCCATTCATTCACGTTGTGCTAAAACTTTTAGCGTTCTTTTATTAAAGAAACCGCTACTCATCGAGATCAGCTAGTAAATTAACATTCCTTCTGAATTATTAATATTGAGCTATGATTAATACACAATTAAATTAAATTACGCAATTATATTACACCCATTTTTTAATTGATACATTTCCGCTCTTGCGTGCATTTTAGTTAACTTTGAACGGATACAATGTTGCTCTATATACCTACGTAATATATTAAATAACGATTTGTGAGATAATCATAACATAACATTCAATTAGTATTGAAATAACTTTAAAATTAATTTAATAGCGATCGGAATCGCAAATTGACACAACGGTAATTACTGGTCAGTGCTAATAGTTTATACCGTATGCCTAACAACTTACAGACAAATTTAGACAACAGAAATATGTGTAAATGTGGAGCATTTTCACCTGAAATATAATGCTGGAATGACTAAACTATTTACAATTTAAAAGCATCTTCATTCAGCTAGAATAAGTTTTCTGAAAGCTGCTTTCTGAAAATGGAAACTGCATTTCCGATTTTTCAAATTAAATGTTTTTTTAACATTGGAATTGAGAAATGATCGATGTAGCTCAAATTGGCACTCTTAGCAGAGACTTTTGAAATAGTTTGGGTTAAGGGACTTTTCAAGGATACATTCTTATGCATCGTTTTTCAAGATAAAGACAAATTAAAAATACATTTTTTTGAAAATGTGCAGCAAGTTAACAAATTAGCCCGATTGACCGGCAATTCAGTAGAGAAAACTACTATTACAAGATGATTCAGGAGGAAATGAAAATATTTATATATGTGTGAAGCTCTTCATGTGTAAGAATTACAAAATCTCCAACAAAGTGTTTTTCATTAATATGAATGACTATTTGGTCAACGAATTTGTGAAAACAGGCGGTCGTTTAAACGTACTTTTTTTCACGGACGAAGCTCAGTCTAATGGACAAGCAATTAACAATTGTCACAAGAACATCGACGGCCGGAGCGAAATCATCTTGTTATGCAAGAATAAACTTCTGCTCGGTCTGGAGTGTCACCTTAACGTGGATGATTATTTACATATTTTAAAAGGAAATATTGGACGAAGTTACTTTGGATGATGCCACATGCTACCTTCCAACATAATAGAGCGCTTCTTCATAATTTAAATAAATTTAGTAATTTTCTTACTACATATTTTGGAGATCCCTGGATTGGTAGAAACAGCTCAGTTCTCTCTAAAAATTCTGCAAATTTTTGTTTTTCAACGTCCACTTTTTTATGCTCCTAATGGTTTTTCCTCAACTTTCAATATTTTTTGTGTTTGCTTTGATTTTATGCAACTTTTTTGCCCTGCTGGCGGCTTATGTTCCTGAGATGCATCAGATGAGTATGTGGGTAAACGATAATGGTAAACTTTTCTTGGGGGACTTTCCATCAGCAGTCAAGAATTATTTTATTTCTTTATCCACCGGATCGCACTCCCCTATATTTTTGTATTTAGAAGTGAATGAATTCGTTGATTTAAGCTACAAAAGTGGACACAAGGGATACGTTACTATTTTACATACTTAATTCTTCAGCGTTAATTAGAGCGAATCTTCGTTCGCTAAAACTCGCTACTAAATCAATTTATAAACGAGCGCAAATAAGTGGCTTAAAATGGGGTGATGTTTTCAAAAATTTCTGAAAAACATTATGAAAATTGTTTTGTTGGATTTTAAATTTTCATTATTCAAGGGATTTTTGCAGCCAATAAAATTCGGACTTGAACATCTGATCTTATTTAGCTAATTTTGGCTTTTTACACATAGCCTTAAAATATTCCCATATCCTCCTGAATCACGGTACCTAACCGAAGAAGTTTATCTGTTGTGTTGTACAAATGTAAACGCTCACTGATGACTCGTTAATGTATCAGAAGTGATAAAAGTTAGAAACGTGTCGTCTTTTTTACAATTATAATTTTTTTTTTACAATAATAAAATGTAAATTGCGGTGCAACTTTATTGGCGTCCAGAATAGTTATTATATTGGATCGAGAGGTTTTAATTTGAAAGGATTTGCACCCAAACATTTATTTGAACCATATAATTGGTTTGAAAATCGGTCACTCTTTTGTATTAGACAGATTAAGTTAAATTTCCAAGATTAAGTAGGTAAGTACTTCTAAATTAATTACTTCGACTTGGATGAAATTGCCTTACTAACTTAATCGAGGTTTCTGAGAACTTCTAAAATTTCTCAATAGTTAATTCGAGATTTTTAATTACTTCTATTTTTTTTTCAATAGTTAAATCGTGATTTTAATATAGTATATTTAATAAGATAAATATTGAACTACTTAACTAACTGTTTCACATTTGTGGTTCAATTTGAAGTCCATTTGGCTCCTTATAAACAACTTTAATTCCAATCAAAGCTGCAGAAGTTTCAAGATAAAATTCATATAAATAGACCTTTCCTATATTACTCCCTATCCTCATCTTCCTTGTCATTAATATATTTTTAAAACACTATCAAACATAGAGTTTAAATTTATGATTTACTCAAGAAGAACGTTATGTACAAGCAGAAGCTATTATGTGAATGAGTGAGAAACTGTGCTTACCTTATTCCCTTGAGGTAATACGATAAAAGCACCTCCTCCAGCACTTTCGACTATGATGGCTATAAACTTAGGATTGACTGCACAGAATGTAGAATCCCAAGAACTCTTCGAGACCCTGATATTGTCATAGCATTGCTCTCTTTTAAGGGCTTGACCGTAAACATGTCTAAATTTTGAACTTCTAACTACACGAAAGGACATCTGAATTAAAAAATAAATATTTAGCTAGATACAAGTATGGAAAGGCAACTATTTCAAAACATATAAATCACTTTGGAGCAATGTATAACTGTAAAAAGTAAAGAATAAGAAACTAATCGCCCGTAATTTCAGCAAAATGATTATTAAATTATGTATTTGAAACTATTTTTAGTAATACATTTGAGGAAATTTAATATGTTTGAACTGCTACTTCAAGGTGGCCAAACTTTTTTAGAATTGCAAGAACGACATTGACTGTGGGCACACTTATAGAGAAAAATTACCGTGTAGTAGCATGAAGAAGATTTTTATTTTTAACTCGGTTTTTTTGTGACTTTTTGAAAAAAAACACTAGCATTTAAGTTTGATATCTCAAAACATAACCTGAAACCGTTCGTTTAGAAGCCAAAAAGCACACAAACCTTGCAAAATCCAACTATGCGAAACCGTAATCCCAAACTGAGTATCTATTTACATCTATAATAATTTATTAAATTAATTTCGCATTGATATTCACTGGCACTTCATAACTAGTTCACGATATTCACTTCAACCTGTGGGAAAAGCCATATTTGGTTATGCGAAAATTTTTAAAACGTCAAAAGTTCGATAGTTGGGGCCTCTTTCGGACCAAAGCGTCTACTAACTCCGTTCTCCGGCGACATCTAAGAGTAGTAATCTTACAGAATTTGTTTTTCACAAGACATCTTATGCAGATTACTGGCGGGTCATTCAAAATTAAAGTGAAACGGGCTTTCTCAGCAATCGGCGACAGCAATGTTGTTAAAAACAATGTAATTTCATTGGATTTTTGGACTATTTAATGTCGCTGGTTATTACGTCAGATTAGGTGATTATTCCGTTATATAAAACCTTTTTTCAGTTTTTAGTCAGTAAGTAGTTAGAAGAATAAAAAGTAGTTAGTGATAAATGAAATATGCAATTCAGGAAGAAAAACCACTTAATAGCAACCCAATCTTGATGAATAAACAATAGGTATAATGAACGAGTAGTTAAAATAATTAAAATATTAATGGTTTTAGAGAAAAATATATGTTGTTTATACAGGATGATTCAAATTTGGCGTCATTCTTATGGAAGTGTTGCCTGGGGGTGTTTAAGGAGCACAGAAAAAATAGTAAAAAAATTAATAGTTATTAAAAACTGAGAGATTTGCAAAAAACTATGTCAGACGGATGGCAACAATGTTTTTTAAGGTAATCTGACCAATTAACATTACGTAAATACCTGTTTTTTCGTAGTTATTAAAAACTCGGGTAACCATGGAATTATACAGAAAATCACAATAAAATAGACGAGGATAAACGCTAAATTCAACAAGATTTGTTACATGTAGGGCGTAGCCTCCGTAAGACGGAGGCCTCGTGTAGGGTATACTTTTTTCGACGAAATGTCAGATTGTCAATGAGAAATTGTTCTTTGTGATCACGTTATTGTGCACTCATGTCGAGCAGCTTCTCGTATTCGGATAATTAACTCCTGCTCAATGTGTGCTGGTGTTCAGTAATCCATTGGTTTAATGTGTCCCTGTGCTGTGTGTATCTTACATTCGTGGTAGGAATGCAGCCCTTCCTCGGTATTTACTTGGCGCTTGCGAAAAGGTCAGTTATTGTGCTGCGAGTACCCCTGGAAAGCTCTGCTGCAATTATGACCAATACTTTGTTCCTCTGTGTCTAAAATCTTCCTGGAGCCAATCTACATTTTGTGAAAGAAATACTATCTACCTGTAATAATCTGTTAATGACAAAAAACATCATTGCCGCTTCGACTTTTAATCAAAACATTGTAAAACARAACTTTTTTAATATMAAAAATTTTTGAAATTTGAAGCRAAGACCGTAAATTTTCATTACGAATGGTGTATTTTAAAAGGCTACCAATCAAAGATGGGACCATTGAAAATTAATGCTTGATAACAAAGTTGACATTTGATTTTCAACTATTAATTATCGCACTCACCAAGTGAGCCTCTATTACCCCTTAAAATGAATGACGCCAACTTTGAATCAGTTTGGTCCAGCTTTATGCTTTATTTATAACCTTCCAAGTCAAAGTCCAATAAAAATTAGTTCGATGCGACTATCTCGTATAATATATTTACTACAGACAGCTTTTTACTTTTCTACAGTTTTTACTTTTTTACAGTTTTACTTTTTAGGTAATCTTCGTATGGAAACATTTTCGTTTCCTTGTATTAGGAGAAGTTGCCTACAGCCTAAACTTATTTCGGGTGTTTTTTTAGATGATTTGTGTTGTGTTTTCCGATTTTGCAGTTTTTTGGGCGCAAGAAGTTCCTCCTTTCAGTTTGTTACTGAATAGGGCAACCTTGCGCATTTCCTTCGCTGGGATTTTGTAGTTAGCACTTCTTGAACTTTGGAAGTAGTAGCAAAGGTAAATCCTTCCGGTTACAGCATTTGGCTAGTTGTTCTGGAAAATGCTTGTCTGACCATCTGCTACAGATTAAATTTCCTCCGCCGTTCGAGACAGGATGGACGAACTTCTGGACATTCTTGCACTGTGGGATGTATCTTGCCTTGAAGAAGAAAGCGTTGACGTTTCTGGAACTACTGGATTTCGGTGCAGTTTTTTAAATCTCTGAGATGGAGTAGTTTAGCCATATTAGAAACGTTTGAAGAGACATCTACTAATACGGTAGAATGAATTTGCTCAGGGGTGAACCCTATATTTTCTGCATGGATTTATTCAGCTTCTGTGCGAGATTCGAGTTCATTAATGGTGAAGGCGGGTTTTCTGCTCTTTTGAAGAATCTAGGCGAAGGGTTAGCTGTTGATTTAATGGAGAAGATGGATTATTTGCTTGTGATCCCGAGTTTGAGGTGACTCAATCCATTTGTATCTACTCCATTTGTGAATTTTTCTATGATTTAATTTTTATAAGAGTTTATGGAGAGTAGCGTTTGGGTTCTTTCCAGTTCAGTATTAGGAAATAGTGATGAGGACTGATTCGCTTTGTTTTGGGGTTTTGGTTTTCTGGGCATTAGGTTGGGCTGTTGGCCTTAGAAGGGAGAATTTGGAATTTTGTAGACTTTCATGCTTGCTCTTGTTTTCTGATTACTTTGAACCGCTTTCTTTTGGGATTTGGCTTGTGGAAAAAGATCAAAGGTTTCTGAAGTCGTATTTGTTTTAAGGAGGGATTTGTATTTTTCTTATAGTTAGGTGTGATAGTTTCTTTTAGACGAGGATTTTGGGCTTCGAGCTCGAAAAATGATTCGGGAAAGTGTTGCATTAGGGTTTTTGTTACTCGTACATTTGCTTTTTCTTTAAGGTTCCTTACGGTTAACTGACTGAGATTTCCACTTTTGTCACAAAATAAAAGTCTTTTTTTCGAAATAACTTGTTTTTATAGCTTTTATTAGAGGCTTTGTGATTTACATCAATTTAAATTGTTTGGACACTAGTTTTCCCGTTACCTCCATTATTGAGCTGGCCCATATACAGGGTGATTTTGTTAAAATCTTGAAGCGCTTAAATATTTTGAAAACGAGTGATCCTACGAAAAAATGTTTCAAATAAGAAGTGAATATCTGGGAGGGGGAAGTTTATTCGTGTTAGAAAAACAACGCCTACTTCGACTTTGTAGGCTAGGCAGGGGCCAAGTTGAGATTTTCAAATGGTAACCAAAACAAATGTCTTGATAAATTACTATCACTTTTTGACGTACTATTCGAATTCGAATCTCCAGTAAAATGGTGTGGTTACTATTTGAAATTCTCAAGTTGGCCCCTGCCTAGCCTACAAGGTCCAAGTAGGCGTTGCTTTTCTGACATGAATGAACTCCAAACGCCCCCCTCCCAGATATTTTTTTAAACTTTTTATTTGAAACATTTTTCCTCGGACCACTCGTTTCCGCAATATTTAAGGGTTTGAAAATTTAAAAAAACACCCTGTATAATGAAAACGTACTGTCTATCACAATAGATAAACGAAGAAAGGATCCATAAAAATACGTCAGTTTTACTAATAATTTCTTTTACTTACAAAGAATTCCATCCAATAACAATATTCTAAAATTTGCAAAAATGTTCATGTTCAAAACAAGCAATAACTATTATAAGGATCTATGATCTATAACATATTGATTTAATGTACAACCTTAGCTACTGTGTTAATGCGAAACAAATTGTGTGATAAAATTCTAACAGAAAGATCAACTTTTGTAAGGTAAATTACTATTTATAAACTTTTCATTTATTCAGAAATTTAACAGGGCTGATATAATAATTGACAACATGTTTAGAATATTCTATAAAATTCTTCTGTTCATCTTAGCTAAAAAAATAATTAATAATTGTAAGAGCGCATCCTGTAAAGAGTAATAGTAACATGAAGATTGTCAACATATAAGAGGAACATAATCGACGCGATTTAGTTAACAGCATAATTTATAGTAATATGACTTAATATCACTGTTAATATGCGTATGAACTAGAACCCTGTGTAATCAGTTCTAATAATTGCACTAAGTATATGTATTTTTCATCGTATCTAAAAAACTCCATGTTCTAACTGTAAAACTGGAAAATATTGAAAATATTCGGGTTCGGTTTCGGTTAGAGGGACCAGCAATTTAATTGCTCTTAATTGTTATAGGTTAATAAAATCTGAATTAACTTTTTTTTAAATCTGATCAAAGTGCTTTTTACGTTCCTTGAACACGACTGCTAGAAATTTTCTATTTTAATTTGCTAATAAATAATAGCCCAAATTAACATTTGAAATTCATGTGGAATTTTACGCGTGAAATAATATCTATCAATGTATTCACTAAACAGTCTGAGGTGTTTGCTTCTATACATTTTTCGCGTACGTGCACGTAGTACTTTTCAGACTTAATTTTTCATTATTTACTTTGAAGTTTACAAACTAAAATATATAAATACACGTTGCTACATTCGCACTTCGATTTCACGTGCCTAAAAATTACATATTACTTTGCTAATATTTTCATTTTAGAATTTCGTTATCGCTTTAAAGCTAAGATTAAAAAGAAGATTCTAAACCTATAAATATTCAACTATATCACACTTAATACTAATATTCGGACACGAACGACCGAACGAATAGTCTATGTTATGCAGGCTTTTATTTCTTTCGGTCAACAATTTCTGGAAAATCGGCAGAATTTCACGATCCAATAACTCACTTTCAGAGGTTGCATTATACATGGATTTGTCCCGTTTAGGGGGATGAGTACTAGACTTTAATGCCGCCGCCACATTAGGTGTGCTAGTAAAATAGCCCAGCTTCTGACTCTGGATATTTCCTAACATGTTGCAACTGGCAGCTTCGGAAGGATTCGATTTAGCTGGTGATTTTTCACGTTTCTCCCTCTGAGAGCCGTGCCGATTCCTTTCGGATGTTGTGCGATGTATGTGCGGATCATCTGAAAATGAAAATTCAGGAAAAATAAGTATTTTTAATTAAATTGGTGCTAATGGTTCTTGGGATAAGAGCAAAGCTTTTGTAAAAAAATGGAATGCTCACTGTTCGAAAAAGTACTTTGATTATAGATTTGCTACTGATAGTGAATCAATTATCTGAATTTGCATTATTTGAATAAATAGAGACGCCAAATTCGAAAAATAGAGTTTTGCAACCGTCTGAAAATAACTTTTCTAGGGCTGTATGCCAAATGTTAAATATTTGCTATAAATACGTTTCGCAAGATTACGAGCTTTAGAAAACGAAAAGAAATGCTTTTTATATTTATCTTAAACGCACTTGGCTGCATTTTTTTTATTAGAGCTATACGAGWCCCGAGACTGGAATTTTAACATCTTCAWMARAWSATCAACRTTTTTCTGAGTAACATTTTACTACTTTGTAACAGAACCCAGCAACAGAACTGAGTCCAAAGAAAATCGACGAGTTTTCGTRTAAAATTGATCTCTTAATTTTTTGCATAAAAGATTCAGTTTGCCAGAATTTTACAGTAAGATTTTRTCCATGATTCAAAGCTGCAAAAAGTTTTCCAAACAATTTTGYAAAGCTGTKAAGGAGGCGAGTGTTCCAATAAAACGTACCTAATAATTTTTCACAGAAAATAACTGAAGATTGTCAGTATTTTAAGTAAAACTGATGCAATRTTTGCGTRGAAASAATTGCTTAATAAAAAMTTTATTAAAACTGGAATGACCYGAACATTTAACGGAACTTYAAAAWTCTTCAGAKCGGTGAGGGCGGCGAATTTTCCAAATTATTTKTTGTAAACTTTTGCTCTCTGGTCGTTTTTCAAAATAATCTTAATTWCTTTCGGTAAATMAMTGAMTAAAATTATTTGGTTTTTGTGCCAAATTCGCCGCTGAAAAGGTTTTCTAAAGTTCCCTGTAAACCGATGAATGAGGCGAATTTTCTTATTGAAAATGAATTAAAAGCAAAATTAATTTTGTCATTTTGGGCTTAAAAGATCCCGTCAGAAAAGAAGATGTCAGAAAAGAAGAAAATTATCAGAAAATAATGCTTTTTTTGCGTTTTCGGTTAAAAACTTTTAGTTTTGTGATCGGTTTTGGAGAAAACCCTAATGGTTTTCGGGGAAAAAAGGGAGGAATTTATTTTCGTTTTTGTCCCGAATTCGGCGCTCAAAAAAGTTTTTGTAACATTTTTACAAAGCTTTAAATTTATCTTGTAATTTTTTGTCTAAAAAAGACCTCCAGTTCGTCAGTATTTTTAAGTGAGACTCTACAAAATAGAGTGTTTCTCAGCAAAAACTAAAAAACCACATTTTTTTAAACAAACTCTACAGTCTTCAGAGGAATGGAGGTGACGAGATTTGCAAATAATATGTTATAAACTATCGCTTATTCTGTTCGTTTTCTGATAGAAAATTATTTGATTTTTGTATCAAAGTTGACGCTGGAAAAGGATTTCAAAACTTTTTACAAAGCGACGAAGGATTCGAAATTTATTTCATAATTTTCCATAGAAACTACCTTAAGATTGTCAACATTTTTAAGCAAAACTTAAGAAAATTGATCATTTAGAAGAAAGAGTAACTTGGCTAAAACTGGAAAATTCTGAAATTTTGAAGAACTTTTATCAATATTATTAATAAATGACCCTTAAAATAAATCTGAAAACAAATAAAGCAGCCATCAACATTATCCCAGCAACGGAACTGAGTCCAACGAACGAGAGTGGGAGTTTGTGTCACACTTTCAAATTTGGAACACTATTGTATTAAGTCTGTAAGGAATTATAAAAATCGGAACAGTAGCTACATAAAGACTATGGGAAGTTAACTAGATGAATGGAAGATAAGTGGTTGGATTGGACGTGGTGGTACAATTGAATGGCCACTTAGATCACCTGACATAACACCAATCGACTTTTTCTTATGGGGTCATGTTAAGGCTGAAGTTTACAAACAGTAGGTTACCAACATTAGCTCAAAGACATGAAAACACTAATAAGACAAACTTTTCGAAGTATTTCAGTACAAACTTTAGAAAAGGTAAAAAAGTTCGTTTTTGTGTAGAGCTATAATGTGTATGCTATTGAGGCTGAACTGTTTGAACACCTCCTATGAAAAATTATTAGTTAAACACAATTCTGGGCTAGAATACTATATAATACTACATAATAAGAAATAATGGCATAATATGCCAATATTTCTAAGTTAGAATCTTTATTTATTACTGTTTTATTACGTTCTAGTTATTTAGTAATCAAATTTAATGAAATTTTAGGTTTAAATAATTAATAAAGTAGTATTGTAATAGAGGTTAACCTGCGGGTCTCGGGGTCTTCTTGGACTGCTTGTAATAGCGTGGATTATCAAATGCAACATTTTCTGTTTCTTCAAATGTACCCGATACATTTTTTAATGCTCCCACTATCCATTTTTATCAGCATTTGGATATCGGGTAGTATACAAGGTGTCCCTTAAGTTGAGGACATGCAGGGTGCACAGGTGAGGTTTGAAAGGAGACAGAGGGAAGTTTTGATAGCATATATAGGAGATAAAAATAATACGCTTTGTTCGTATAAAAAAAATATTAACACCCCCTTAACTGGTCCAAGCACATTCAGTTTAAACAGCAGCATTCAGTTTCAACATTAACATATATCATTATTTTCAACTAGAGATATAATTTTTTAACTTTAGATACTCAGGAAATGGAGATTTACGCCAAAAAAAACTCTTCATTTATTGCGATAAATTGAACTGTTTTAATAATAGCTTGATTTTTGTATAATCAGTTTAAGGAGCTCAACAATTAACCAAGGGGTTAAAAAATCTTTCCTTTGGTTGTTTTTTTTATTCGTAAAAATTATGTTCACATAATGAATTTTGTGGTAAATTTATGGGCCGGTATCATAGGAAATAATTATACATTACTGTATTTTAAGTTAATTTCTGCAGGGTATTTAAAATTAATTAAACAGAAATCAAATGATCTTTAAAATACGTAGTTCAATTTATCATATATACATAGTTCAAATTGTATAAATAAGTAAGGCATAGCTTTTTGGCTGAAAATCTCTAGTCTCAAGAAATTATATTTGCAGTTAAAAATAATTAAAAAAAATAAAAAAATAAAGATTGGTTGTTTCTGCAGGCCGCTCCTGCTTTTTTTCTTTCTGTGTTCAATATATTTAGGATCCGTTTTGCAAATAAGATTGTAACTCTGTTTAGACAAACATTTGGCCAAAAAATAATTGTAATATACAAAGTTGTACAAAAGTTGGAAATCTAAACGTAAAGTCCAATATCTCCGTTAGGGGGACAAAAAGAAAAACAATTACATGAACAAACTGTGTTTTTTAACCTCTCATGTATGCTCTCGAGGAACGAAGTACGTAACTGAGGCTTTGTATACCCTACTGGCTAATAAGTATCTATTTTTTGGCATTCTCCGGAGATAAACACCATTAAATGGGTAGTAAGGTGCATGGTTAGAGACAAAAAATAAATATTATGCAAAAACTTGTTAGTTTGCTCTGTTCGGTCTTATCTACTAAATTATTTGTCTGTCCAGGGGCTTATTGGTTCAATTTCGTAGTAGAGTTTGATACTGCTAATTTCTGAAAAAAGTTGGCTTTGCTTCAAATTTATTCAAAAACTTGTGAAAAAATTTCTGAATTTGACATTATCTGAAAGCCTGTTAAAAAACCTTATAATATATAAGGTGTTTCATTTAAAAAATGTGACTTAACTTTAAGTGTCTTCATCTGGTAAATTATAAACCGCAGACCGAATAAACCTTCTACAAAAGTTATCTTGATTTGTAAGAAAACCCATTGCAGCATATTAATACAGGGTGGTCTATTAATAAAAACATATGTTTGCTTTACAACGGATTTTTCGGGACATCCTGTGTAAACCACATTGTTTTAATAAATGGACACTGTTAATGCCAATATCGCATAAAAATAGTTTCAAAATTACACTCTAGATTGCCGTAATCTTCCACCGCGTCGGTTGAAACACCTTGTATAAAACGTAGGTTTATCTGATAGAAGCGTTTTTAAAGATTTAGTGATTATTTCTTTGTGAACCACGGTTTACGTCAATTAGCCGAAAAATTACAACATTGTAAATGTCCTCTGCTGCTCAACCCTCACTGGTTTTGAAGATACAGCCGCTTCTCTTATTCGTACATCTGACATACCACCTATATACTAATTAAACTCTGAAGACGGTGGTAAAAATATTTGCTAAACAAAAGCGAAACTATTTGTCACAATCAAAGAAACTTGAAAGAAAAACTCAGCTCAAAATAAATTGATAAAGGGCTGGAAATGAAGCTCCAGCAGAAAGATTTCATCCGCAAAATGTTATCATGCACCTTACCTTCATCTTGTGATATGCTAACTCTACTACTCTTTTGATGCGCCTTTTGGCACCTATGTTGACTCCCTGTGTCCCATAATTCGCTTTTAGCCACCACGTGAGTGCCGCATTCCGGCTTCTTCTTGGGGGTGGTGCGAATGTTACTCTGAACACTCGTTCTTCTGTGGCATATTCCTTCTGGAAAGCAAATTGATAGGCTATGGCATAGGGATTGTGCATGTGTGTGCTGTGTGGTGTTGGCAAGTTTTCCCGAATAGTTTCATGCGTTTTACCGTGTGCGTTTGAGTGTTGCTACAGAGTGTAATTCTTGAATTCCCCATAATAGAGCTAGCGCATATCGTACCTTTTACAACTAAGTCGTCCTCCAAGACACTTTCAACAGCTTTTATGCTGCTTCTTCTCTTTTCTTGGATTTCTATTGAATCTACTGCCCCGACCGTCCTGGACACTCTTCGTTCATGAGTTGGCGTCCTTCGACCCTGCCGCTCCAATGTTGAAATTCTCTTCTTTTCTAGTTGTTCACTCGGGTAAGGCTTGATCTAAATTTGAGTACGTTGGAATTAATAAGATGTAACCATATTGAAAAAATCCTACCTGTGTGTCACATCTTTGAATGTCGATTTTATCAGCAATCGAAACCACCTTACTTGGTTCTTTTACAGTGTTGTAATTGCTATCCAATTTCATTATACTTTCCTTATTAATATTATTTTCTGCCTTAATGGTATCCGTGTTAGTTCTTGACACAGTTCCATTAATTTGCTGTTGGGACTGTTGAATTATTGCTGGTTTGCTTTTGGGATGATTCGTTTGCTGTGATGGCAGCAATTGGTTGTATTGCTCATTCTCGATTCGTTTACTTTTGGGAGAATTTACAACTTTTTTAGGAGATGTTTCGTTAGTTGCTGGAAGTTTTTTCTTTCTGGAAAGATTGTTGTTGATAAAAAAACACTTTTTATCAGTCTGTAGTTTTCTTCCCTGAGTTGCAATGTTTATGTCCAAATATATGAACTATTACAAAAATAGATTCAAGTATACATAGTAAAAACAATCTGGGTTGAGAGCGCTGGTAAAAAAAAATAAAAATATATATTTTATAATTGAAAATGTTCCACCAGCGATGAATTTGGGACTCAGTTAAACAGATAGAGCTCAAGAAGGTCCAATTGTGAAGGTTATTTGTTTATTTTGATTTTAGTAACAATCGTCCCTACGAAATTTTTGTCAAGTTTCTGCTTTTGAAGAGCACTCGGTTTGGTTAATGGTGTAATAATGACTCAATCTTCAACCAGATATGATTATCCAAGCGTTATCAAATGCTTTATTTGTGTTTAAAAATTGGCTGGCAGTTTTTGCTTCAGTAAAATCTGTTCCGTGTATGTTTTTAGTAAGAATCTTGCACCATATAACTTACATCTTTTTTATAAATAGTGACTATATTTTTATCACCACGATTTATTCCCACTACGAAAGGAAACCGTTACAAACACTGTTGGTTTGGTAGCAGTTAAAAATTTGTTTATTCTGGAAAATTTTCTACAAAGCTGATTCAAAATTAACGTCATTTGTTTAATGGGTTTTTTTGGGGCGTTAAAAATGTACTTACATTTTTTATATTAGGCAATATTTTAAAGTATTTCAAAGCTGATTTGACAATTTATTAGGTGAGCAGTTTTGTGATGAATTACGCCATTAGGTGATAAAACTTATGGATTGAATGCGCAATGTATTGAATACGGAATATGGTAGCTTCGGAAAATCAATTGAATAGCTAAATTTTGAAACTCCGACTTCTCTTAATTCAATTTGTTTTTCAATTTTACTTTTCTATTTCGCCAGGCACTTTTGATAATTGACCAATGAAGCAGCAGATACTTAAATTATGTTAATGAAAAAATTATCATTGCATATGCGAGCGAAAACATGATTGCAATATTTCTGTTTCGTTTTTTCCGCATATCTCTGTATCTTTGAGTATAAATAATTTGTTTCATAATTTTTTCTGTACTTTGTACATACACAACACCTTCACAGGAGGGACTTTGAATCAACGTGTATACCATACCAACTTTGGCACAAATTTGCTGAAATATCCCCAAATCAGCAAAATACATTTCTAAGTTAGGACTCGCTACAAATTTTTAAAACCAAAAAAAAGGTCTAAAGTTTTATTCTAATACATCTATTCTTGTCAGGTATACGGAAGAAGAAAAAACAAATAAACCAAAATTTTGAAATATAAATTGTATATGGAAAAGTCGATGAATAAAATATATGAGTGATTTTCAGGTTTTTCTCAAAACCAATAATTTATTTATTAAAAAGAGCAACGTCGTAAAAACTCTTCAAATGTTAATTTATTTTTTATGTGTATATTTGCAGCCCTTTTGAACACAAGAGATTAAAATCTACGAGGAATTAGGTTGTCAGAAGTACATACATATGTGAACAGAAAATGTGTTATTTTCAATTATTTTATTTACTTTTTTTATTAAAAAGAATTAAATTGTTGTTGATTTTTACTTACTTTTGACTATCCGAATGATGCAATGATGCATAGTCTGCTTGTGAACTAAGGCTGCAAAGAGATGTTAGGTCACTTGTCTCAGTGGCACTTGGCATTTCTTTGCGTAAAAGTGGTACCGAAAGGCGATTAGTATCACTTATAGAGTCCTCAGTTTTCTGCTCTAGGATTTCATTTGCTTCATTGCCCAATTGCCTTATCAGCATCTACAATTTGCAAATTAACTCGGGGCTGGTGCGTGAAATAGCTGGCTAGATACCTGCAGTTCACTATCTCTTTCCGACAACGTTTTTCGATATTTTATATTTAATTCCTTCAAGTCCTTCATTTTCGTTTCTATTTCTGATACGCTGGATTCTCGTCTAGTTTTCGACATGGGTCTCAGTGTTGCACGAATTCGCTTGTCTATGCTGCCTCCGGTATCTTTGCGCAGTTCGAGCATTTTCGGAACGAACACAAGGCACAAAGTTATTGTAGTACAAAATATTATAAAAGAACCTGAAACAAATAAACCAAATGCCCAATTTAATATAATTTTGTAATACGAATATACTAACTAATTATCAGAAACATTGCGTCTTGATGGTCAACTAAAGCCAGAGCAACTGCTGCTCCAAGAATGCACATTACTACCACATTGTAAACGGAAAAGCCAACGTATCTGCTGTCGTTTAGAGCTGGAATGGAAACATGTCGAGTTTCCCATGCCAAAAATGCTCCAAATATCTACAACATTCAGCAACATTAGTCTCTTCTAATGCTGGCATCCATCCAATGTTGACTTACCATCAAAAGACCTTTGTATACGTAAATGGAAGAAATGAATATAGTCATTTTCGAAGATGTGCAGTACTCGTTTTCCGGTATAATAATTTCATCTTCATTTGACGGATGAAGCTAAAATGGGATTTAGTAACTAAGTTCTGGTATTGTTTCTAAGTGTCTCATTAAGCGCAACAAAAAAAATAATTTTTAAAGAAAAAGTTACTATTAAAACAGGGTGAAGCTCGTCAAGCTCTGTTAAAACTCGGCTAATCCAAACTTCGATTTTTTAACTGAAACAGCTTGTATTTACAGAATTTAACTGTTCTTTGATTGAAAGTTAAGGTCCTTTTTAACAAGCAAATTTATTGCTTGTTTTGTTCTTTGCGAAGTAATTGGATATTCCAAATGAACTTTTAATATTTACTTCTGTAAAACTGGGGTAATCTTCAAGTTCATCCTCATAGACGAAAAGAAGGAATATTGGCTCTTTTACATAAAATGATTGCTTTTTTATTGAAATGAGGTAATAAAATTTTAACCATTTAATCTCTAAATTAGATTTTTTGAACTAGAAAAAATAACATACGGCTATTTCTACGGACTCACTCACTGTTGATTAAACGTGCTTTTGATTTAAAAAATACAATCTAATAGACCAATTTGAATCCAAAAAACCCAAGTTTTACATGATGTTTATATTTCATACGATTTTCCCCATTTTTCAATTAGCAGCGTAAGCAAAAATCGGGCATCAACTTTCCGTTTCGTCCAGTTTTACTTACATATGGCTCGCCGCGTTTGGTGTCACGATAGAAAGGATCAGCAAATTGCCATGTAGCCATTATAACAACATCGATACATAATAAAACTCCAACCACCATAAAAAGCTGGTAATCTTTAATCACTTTCTTATTGAGTTTTACATCGGTGAATATTGAGTGAACTCTCCAAGTTTTACTAAACATTGATCCAAATGCCAGTGAAAACCCGGCCATTAGAGTGCAAGCCCGAGCTGTGCATATGTAAGGGAATACCTCTAAAAATCCAAAAGAAATGTCAGTAATCTCGAGGGATACAAACAAAATATCTAAAATAACTATATGTAAACGACGACTAAATAATCAATGCATAAATTGCTATAAAGATTATAGTAAGGAAGACGAAAACTTAAAGTCTTGTTATTCGAAGTGGTTACAAACCTCGTTTTAACTAAATGTATAAAAAAACCAAAAAAGGTGGTATCCAATTAAAATGATTAACTTGCATTGAATTACATTAAATACGCGGACGGAATACTTATAAATTCCTAAATAATTTAAATTCGTACTACTTACCAATACTTGAAAGACCCGAATCTAAGCCCAAAAAGATGATGCTCGTATACGTTATCATACATCCAACTATAATTAAGTTATTCAGCTGAGGGCTGGACATTTTAATATATCTGAAAACCAATGAAATATTTTTTGTTGCTTGTTTTTATAGATTAAAATTTAATTTAATCTGGGCTAATACATCGTGTAATATCTACCTCTGATTTCTGTATTTGATGTTGAACGCTAAGAAAAATGCAGCTATGAATATTCCTAAAATTGCCAAAGTCGCTAAAATGGCATAAGCTGTCTTGTTTACTCTGGTATGCTCAATAATCAGAACTGTCCTATCTTTCGGTGGATATCTACAAATGAGTGAAATCAATAGCAAAGTAATTTAAATATAATTAAATAATTCGGGTTGTTTTAATTACAAAATCGTGGTTTTCCTTTGTATATTTATTTATATTACTGTTTCATGAAATTATTTTCGAAAGGCTTCATGTGGTTGATAAATTGGTTCGCATTCACATACTTTTAATTTGGTATAAATAAAATAAAGCCAAAATAATGCATCAAGCACATTTCAGAAGTAAATATGGAAAAGTTAAGAACATTTTTTTATTTCTAAGATATACATATAGGATGTTTATGAAGACAATAATTGTTTTTTTCTGCAGATAATATTACAACAAATTTTTGAAAACATTTTCTTAACATACAATTTTATTCAAAAATGCTTTATTTTGAACCTGTTTTATTAGTTTCATTGACGTTTAAAGAAAATGGAACTAACACTGATTTTCAATATAGCTAAACAACAAATAGCACTATTAGTCACGTTCGTGGTGTATTTAAAAGAGAAAGAAGTTACAGACTTTTCGAACGATGCGCCAGTTTAATTATGTTTAATAAAATGTAGAGCGTTTATTTCATAACGTAAATTGTTTTGAGCTAATATATTTAGAAAAAGCACTAACTATACCACTAAATTGTTTACATTCGCGCGTAGACTTTTCAGCTATAAAATATGTCCATAACGTAAATTAAACTTTATTTTTTTACAGAAAATGCAGCAGCATAGAAGCCCATATAGAAGGGTAAAATAAATATAAATAAAAATATATCAGCGTTTTATTTGAACAATTTAAAAACAAGCGAATTGTAATTACACATTTATCACATTATGATTTATGACTTTTTACTGTTGTCGGTCCGTAAATTGCCTGCATTTAAACCGTTTTCTCAAATTATTTTATTATATTTAATTAAATTTTGTAAGCCGTTATTAGACAGTGAAAACACTATGAAAAAAATAGACAACTACGCAATTACATATCTACCTAATATAATTTGAACTTACTTCCCAGTCCATTTAAGAGGATCTCCTAGAGTAAGATCTAGATGTTGTATGGCAGCACTGTATTCTCCTACTTTTACGTCTGTTCCATTTTGGATCTGTTTAAGCAAGATGCTGGCTTTCCGTTCATTGTCATAAAATCGTACTGGGCCTGTGACTCCTAACATGAGTAAATGTTTTAGATCAATCGTATTTTATCAAACTTATTTGTGTGATTATTAGGAAACATATACCACTATAAGTACTATATTATACACTAGATAGCTAGTTTCAAAAACTAGCTGGGTTTTGAATTGATTCTGCTGAAGAAGGCTGTTGAACGTTGGCTAATATGTCTTACGAAAAGGCTGTTTACATCGAAATGTAGTACTAACAAGCAAATAACCCACATCTTTTCGTTTTGAAAACAAGCTTCAAGATTGTATAATCTTTAAAAAACCGCCTCCAATCCTGAAGACAACAATGATATTATAATAATCTAATTAACAATATTATTGTCCTTAAAAAATTATTAAAAGTGAAACAGTATATTCCGTCTAGATTGAGTAAAAGGAATGATTAAGGCCGGTATGTTTAGTCGATCTCTTATGATGCGCCAGCCTCCCGCCGTTCGCTGGAGGTAATTTTTGTTGCACAGTCGATCGGTTGGCATCTGACGCAAGCGCATTTCAATATTGTTGGGCGATGCGGTGGAAATTTGTCGGATATGGTTGTAGGCACCTCCGAACAATCGCCAAAGCTATTTTGTGAACGAGTTCTCAACTTGTTGTGTTGTTTATACTATTTTTGTTTTAAATATATAGATAACGATCTCGACGTATTGTACAGTGTTAATCGGGATAATTCGGACTTGGAATTAGATTTTAACATACCACAAAAGTACGTAACGAAAACCTCAACAAGCGTGATATGCAATTCAAATAATAATTGTATTAATTTCAGGTATATTTTAGATATGGAAAATACCTTAGAGAAATTTACTGTAATCGATTTTCCAAAACGCTTTCGTTTCTCAAAGGAAATTGTGCAAAATGTTTTGTGGCAATTAATCAATCACCATTGATGCCTTCCTGTTCTTTTGATAATAAATATTTTTAATGAATTTTATTGTCAGTCCAGAAAAAAATTCAAACTTGTATGTATGTTATATCAAGTTTTCAAATATAACATGTATAATGTGTTGTTGAAATAATAATAATAAACAAAGTTATTACTGCATTACGTTTTTTAAATGTTTAGATAAGAGGCTTTGAAATCAATTGGTTGATTGTCTCAAAGTTAATAACAGCGGCTCTCACCGCTAATATGTCTTTTCTTCTGCCTTTGACGGCGTTCCAGCGCCGCCTTACAAATCAACTTGACTCATGAGCTAACTAAAAAGGAAGCAGTGCCGAAATTTTATAGGGAAATTTACAATCTCACCGCAAATGGGGTCGGCGGGGGCCACCAGAATAGCGAAACGAAGCATCAAACGAAGAACAACTTTGCATCAAAAACCCGTCGCTTTCGCGTCGACGGCGGCACGCTGGGCTATCCGCCAAAACAATCTCCCGCAAAGTGCCGAAGATCGACTAAACATACCGACAAACTTGTCGAGTAAGATCATTTTAAAATCGTTCGACACCTACCTATTGTGCCAAATTGCGATTTAAAATTATTGGAGAAATGAATTTTGTCCAAATTTTTCCAAATTAAAAACACTGGCTGGATAAGTTTTTTTAAGAAATATACTATAGAAAAGTTATCTTTTTATTCCACTTGCACGTAGGTTGTTTGCAACATACAACAGAAGACTTATGTGATTTACTTTACTGTTTTAGGAATTATGCAATAGGACTTAATACTAATTTAATACATAAACTGGAATTAATTCGGTAATTAATCGACAAGTACAGTTAGTAGACTAAACAGTAGTTAGCATTTAAAAGTGACAAACCGTATGACAGACGCGTGTGTTTTATGCACCCTGTTCCATGAACAAAAAGTACTTCTAATTTTTAAAGTGTGCGTAATAATGAATAATGCTTAATAATTAATGTTGAGTAATGTTTAATAATGAATAATTTGCAAATATGTTTGTATGTTTATTTAAATAAAGTTTCGGTAAATTGTGGAAATGTTTTGTAAATATGGTATAAAATTACTCACAAGATTTATCGGCATTCTGCGTTTAATTACTTAGTGAGTGTCAAATTTTGAATATATTAAGATGTCCTTATATATATAAAATAAATTAATAGTAAATATAGACTTTAACACCCTGTGTGTAAGCCTAATAAAGAACATATGACAGGATAATGGCATGCATCAGTTCTGTAAATAAAATTTTTGTAAAAATATATTTTTTTGTTATCTAGAAATAATTTGAATAACTTTTTTGTTCATCTATTTAAAGATCATTTAAATTTAATACTAGCAGCTATCTATTTTTATATAAACAGTATATAACGTTGCCACTTAAGGAAACCCAAAATTGTTATTTACAAGAATATTTTAGAACCCCATAAAATAGTAGCAAATTTATAATTAATGAGGTTCAATTTGTAGTTCCGGTTTTGATGGATAAAGCTTTACCTTCTTTATTGAGTTTGTTTCTCAAAAAACAGCATGAAAAAAACAATAAGCTAATATTTGGAAGCATAAAGCCATGTCTAATTTAAGATTAAATTTTATTGTTCTTATGTGTATTGACATTCATATTTCGCAAACTGCAAGTACTATTTTGTTTAAAAAAATTATTAGCGTTTTTATTATTCGGCTTCTACCAAAAGTACAACAAAAAATTTAAAAAATTGTATCTCCGAAAAGTTTGAGATCTAGCAGAACAAATTCATTTAATATTTCCACAAAATTTTAATTTAATTAAATTAATTAAAATTTAAACAAATCAGATAGTCAGATAATAATTAAGCAACTCAGAAATAAATAAAAATTGGCCCTTTTACAACAAAATTAAGGTGATTTAAAAATTAACGCGTGTTAAAGGGTTTTAGTTTGTATGCAACAACTGAGATATTCAAATGAGAAAGTTTAATCTACCTCCGTTCTCCTTATAAATTAAACAGCCTAAAATCTCTTTGTAGCTGTAATTATAAGAGTTTCATATGTGCCTACCTTCAAAACTGGTATTTCGCAATGCATCCAAGAATAGTTTTTCCCACACCGGATCTCTGTAACGAAATGCATTCACATTGGAATAGCGATCGGATTGAGCGCTTTTGATGTTGTTTGCTACATGTTCGATAGCCAAAGCTACCGCCCATATGCCATCGTAGGTGTAGCCGTGAAAACGGGAAAATTCCCCATTTCTCCTGGAATGGTATTCGTCTTCATATTCTTTTGCGGTCTGTAAGACAGAAAAATTATTGTAAAATCGACAATATTTTTCATAAAAATTGGGGCTAATGATGAAGCTTGAGACGAACGTGAATTCGAAAGGTTGATCATCTATGAAATGGAACAAGAAATTTGAATAACGCAAATGTTAAGTAATAAACCCAGTTAATTTCGTTTATTAAAATAGGGTTTTCGCTATCGGTCAAAATTCTTTCCCAACCTGCGGATTGAACCTAGATAGTTAATTTAAGACTTGATTGAGAGAGAGATGATATTATAAATTTAATATTATTAAGAGACCAGGAAGCGTATAAGTCATTTTGAAATCATACTCAACTTTCAACCATCAAAAGTTCAAGTCAAAACACAACTTTAAAACTGGAAAAACTAATCCAAAGTTAAGGGGCGGGATAAAATAAGCGTCGAAGAACAACAAGACAAGCATTTTGTTCGGTATTAAATATGTAAAATATATCTTTCAGCCAAAAACAGTTCTAGCAAAAAGAAATGCTTTGGAAACTGAGGAACATACTTTGTCTGGAGAATAGAAAAAGTTGTAGAAGTTAGCCGGAAAGCATACATATTTTATATTCGGCTTCACATTATTAACAATCTATTTAATAAGGAAGGTCATTAAGTGTCACACTAGCATATAAATAGAAACTACTAAAAATCTGAGTTATTCGAGTTTTGGTTGAACGTGATAAACAACTTTGGAAACTTCATAGTTTCAATATACCACCTCCATTGTTATTTCCGATCAGTCGAAAACAGGCAAAAATTTAATTAAACCTGTGCTGAAGAACTATTTTATAATGTTTTACAGAGCTGCTTTACAGAGCCATTAGCCAATCATGGAAGGAGTGGTGCTAATAGCGAATGTTAATTTTGTAGTTTGTCAATTTCCAAATGATGTTCCATTATTCAGTTCAAGTTAATCATGTATTACTATGTAAATTAAGGCAAGGCACATTTTTAAAAGGAACAGCAACCAAATACTAAAAGTCCTGACAAGCCTAGAAGCTGTAACTTACAATTCCTGCTATTGTAATCTCCCCACTTGTGCTCAAAGGCAATAGATCGGTTAATATGGTTTGCTCTAATGAGGTTTCTATTTCCTCCAACGTGCAATTTACGTCCGGTTCTAACTTTTTCCACCAATTAGTACTGTAAGTGCCCATTATGAGCCATTGATATTTTCGTCCATACATCTCCAAATGGTAGGCTTCACAAAAGATATGTTTTGCCCATTTTTCATTGAAATTGCCTTAAAATCATTTCGCTACGTTTTATTTTTCTGACTGCTTTCAAAATTCTCTTTCATACTCCTTACCTAATATAATGCGCGTATCTTTTTCTCTTAGTTTCATGAGCGCTGATGTTACTTCATTTGTAAAGCTTTGTGTTTCTACCAACTGATAACCCAGAATGTCTAATTCAGCTACCAGCCTAAAAAGAAGAATTAGTGCATTCTAAACGAAACCAAAAGTAAACTACTATAAACATTTCAACCATGTTGGTGCCTGTATAATGAGATCAAGCCTACCTGTTATGGGCCAGAGAATATCTGGGCTCATTTTGATAGATAGTTCCTACTCTAGTCCAATTGAATTCCTTTAAAAGGGAGAGTCGTGGTGAATTGAATGCATTTTCTGAAGGCACTACCCTGAAGAAATTCGGAAAATTCTCCTTGGTGAACATTGGATGAGTATCAGCATAGGAGAGCTACAAATTAAATGAGACAATATTTCGAATTTTAATGGCAGGATTGTTTTTGTGAGGTATCTGCATCATGGGTGAAACTTCAATGTACCGAGGCTGTAAACGTGTTCTATCTTGTGTTTGCCACAAAATATCTGCAACCGCTCACGTTTTAGTTATCAATTAGCCACTGTGCAAGTAATTTTCGGTATTTTAAACGTATTCACGCGTTAATTGTAAAAAATCTGGGCGTATTATAGGCATGAAAGCAGTCTGAGTGCTTTGGAACATTATTATTTATAGTTTAGTCAACATTAGTCGGCTATTTTGCAGACGATACAAAGTAGATATAAACCAAATTTTTTAATTGAGTTTTTATTTAGAGAAACAAATTTTGTCGAAAGAAAAACAAGATAACTTTGTTTCGATTTTGTCCCAAATCCAAAGGTTCGCGTTTTGTTGTTCGATCGAAGTTGCAAAAGGTTCCAGAAAACATTTTACAAAGCTGTTCAGGAGCCGAGTATTCCAGTAAATGTTATTATAAGAAAAGGGGGATAATTTTCTTTTCGTTTTTGTCCCGAATTCGACTCCGAAAAACATTGTAAAATGTCTACAAAGCTATAAATATATCAAGTAATATTTCACGTAAAATACATGTCAGAATCGTCAGTGTTTTTAAGTAAAAGTCTACAAAATTGAACTAGAATAGTTTTTGAGTCAAAACTATAAAATAATTTTTTTTAACAAACTACAGTCTACACAGGAATGGAGATGACGAGAATTCCAAATAATAAACTATCCCTTATTCTGTTTGCTTTTTGATAGAAAATTAGTTAATTTTTGTACCACATTTGACGTTGGAAAAGGATTTCAAAACTTTTTGCAAAGCGACGAAAGATTCGAAATTTACTTAATAATTTTTCACGGAAAATACCTTAAGATTGTCAGCATTTTTAAGTGAAACTAGATTACTGTTTTTGGTTGTCTGAAGAAAGTAGTAAAATGTTACTCAGAAAAATGTTGATTACTTTTTTTATAGATGTGAAAAATCCAGTCTCGGGTCTCGTCAAGCTTTAATAAATGGCATATTAAACTTAAACTGCTTAACCGATGAGTTATAACTCGTTAACTCAGAGAGTGGCAACAAGTCAATAACGCAACTCAACACAATGTTACCCAGGCCTACGATGTGGACAAAATTTAATGCAAATTAAATAAATCGGTCAAAAATTAAAATAAAAACAATTTTATTTTGAAATGTGCACCATTAGGAAACTTCTCCAATGAAGTTTTGCAGTTAAATTGTACTTTATTCTTGACGCTTTTTCACTTACTATAATTAATGGCGTTTACCCTGAACCATTCTGTCTAAAAGGTAAGACGATAAGGCATATATGCGATTTATTTTTAGGTAGGATTGTGTCATTCAAAATAACAGATTGTTTGCTTCTAACTGTGATTTTAACCGAGTATTCGGAAATGATTCTCGGAATCTTCACGCGATGATTCTATATGACAAATTGCTGACCTGAAAAGTTTTGAACTTTATGAAGGCGTTAAAAATAATTTTTATGAAATATTTTCTTCGCCTCTTCGCCGATTGTTTTCAACTTTTGTATACTTTCTACAAATGATATTCAGTAAAATGAAGTTTTACCATTGAAAAAACCGGTTTAACAAAGGTTACAAACTCTTAAAAGCGAGTGAAAATAAAACCATTTCCTATTCCTGCCGAAATTCTAAGGCATTGCTAAATTGTTCATAGATGTGATACATATTTTTCTCTTTTTGAACTAATCTTGTATATGTACCTGTGTAAGATGCCAATGCTTAGAAGCTTTTGCTATGGGATCAGTCACATGTGTACAAGCAGCGCCAAACAGCATCAGCTTATGAGGTCCACTATGCATCATGTCGAAAAATGCCTTTACACCTACTGCAGCATTGCACTGGAATTAAAAATCGAAAATACTATATTTGATTGAATATTCCAATAAGCAAAACTTTTGCAAATTTAACATTCTGAAAATAAAATAGCAATAAATCGGGCAGATCTAAATCAGGGAACATGCCACGATTGCTTGTGACATGCGATAGTTGAATCTAAACTGGTTCCTTTTTGGAAAGACCCATGTTTGCCTTCCACAAAGTTTTTGCTGTATTTTACGTAAGTTTACACAATTCTTTAAGATTTTGTGCTTTATTATTTTGCTTTTAATTGATTTCCGATGTAAGTCGTTGTATTAATCTTTGGAGATCTTCGTCACACAAGATAGGGAGGACAGAAGGGGGACTTTTTATGTCGCACAATCCGCCGCAACTGTCTTCCCGAACTTGTCTAACGTAATGCTTGAGCATGTAAGCATTATAAATTATCTTCTAACTGAAGTGCTTGCAAACTTGCAATGTCTTTGATAGAGTATAATAAGTATTAATTTTCTTAAAACTAACTGAAAAAAAACAGGGGATAAACTAATTCGCTCATAAACAAGACACTCAAGTGGCACATGCAGAACAAGTTTTGGAAAACCATTAACTTACTGTTGCACTTTTGAGCTGAACTCAATGGCAAAAACTAAATTGACAAATTTTAATAGGATGCAACACCTTACCATGGTATCGTTCCACCACATGTGAAGTCGATGGTTTCTAAGAACTCGTGAGTGTTCGTTAACATGGTCCAGAGCCAGTTTAACGCTGGGCATAACTCCTCGTCCTATAAAATGTTCTAAAACTGAACTAAACTGTAAGGTAAACCCTAATCAAAAAATTAGAATGGCAAAGAAGTGCACTGAAACTTGTATTATACATTGTGCGTAGAACCAGATCGACATAACATTCAATGTGTTTCATAGTAACGTGCAAATATTTTAGAGATATTAATCTTCAGAATGGCAAATTCGAAATTTACTCAATCAACAAAAATCGCAATTTTTGAATGGCCAAAATTGTGATTTTTTTGGTTTGACTTAAGAAACTGAATTCCGGTGGTTAACTAGAAGTTACGTGATGAAATTCCCTTTTAGTTAATATCTTTGACCAAAGCAACATTAACAGCTCTTACTGTTACGTATGTATCACATATTTTATTTCTAACAGGCATTGCTTCCATCAAAGCCATAAACACAATTTTCCATTTGGCAATTCTTTACTTTTCCCATTCACTACTTGTGAAGATTACATTTCAAAATTCCCCAAAGAAATTGATTTTCACTCCTATTGAAAAAAGTGTTTTTGCGAGTTTAATTCCAACAGAATTGAAGACCTTTCGTACCTCTTTTAATTTAGAATAGCTTTTTTGTCAGTTTCTTGTATCATTAATAGCATTTGATATTATGACGATTTTACTTTTTAGATTACACATATTTGTCATGAACTGTTATGAAGAATGCCGCAAATGTCTAATACGAAGTTGTAATATACGGGTGAAAATTTTTCAAAATTGGCTTTGATGTATGCTCAATTTTTGCGATACGAATTGCCAGTAATTTGGAACAATTTCAGCAGAAGGTTTTTTCGTACTTTGTCTATTTGTTGAGATGAGAACCGCATATTAAACTTTTAGAATATTCATATTAACTGTTAACTTTGAAGAAAATACAATTTCTTATGTTCCAACAATTATTTCAGTGATTAATTAAGTAATTTGTAATTTTTGAAAGTATATGTCACATATACAATGTTACCAAGGGCGAATCCAGCTTTCAAGTCATTAGTCTCATCTAGTAGAGACTCAGTCAGGACAGACTTCAATTCAATTACAATAATAAATGTAATAAAAAAATAATTATATAACAAAATTAATTTCCTTCTATTGTCTCCCCACAACACATTCCTTCACTGCAATCGGTATGGTATTGTGAACGCGAAGTAGTGCCAGTCCAGTTGAGCGCTCTTCTGCCATTCAACTCTTAATGAGGCGTGCAGATTGAAAGTGGATCTTCTCTTCATGATGAGCAAAATGGTAAATGAGCAAAAATGGTAAATCGAGAGCTCGCGTATAAAGCAAGTTCGGTATTCCGTCGGAGCATTGAATGTGGATCTAACTATGGCTCTACACAGAATATTTTCAGCTGAAGACTCTTTCATAAAAATCGTTTCATGAAGTCTTATTAAAAATCGAACAAAAGTCCGAGAGCATTTAATTTAGCATAAAAAAGTCTATTCCGCTCCATGATTGGAGATGCTCACATTTGGATGGGAAACATATTTCTTCGCGGCAATCGTCCAAAATAGTTTGAACCAGAAACTTATTTCTATCAATCACTTTAAGAAAGTCAATACTAAAGTGCAGAATTTGAAAGCACTTTTTAAAATCTACCAAAGATAGATGCGAGAGCTCGTGTGAAAATTAAGCTAATTATTCGTGTCTTTCAATGATGCGAGTAGAGGAAAACATTAATAAATCCTGATCTGACTCGAATATGAATCTGACCTTTAGGCGTCTTTCGCACAACATATCAAGCTTTACGAACTCAAAGTTACATAAAAATGGAGCAATCTGATCTGAGAGCTCATGTAAAAATCAAGTTCCGTCACTCTTGATAGTGCAATCTGAATCATGCAATGATTTGTGAATGCTTTACTTTGTTTTTGGTGCAACTGCTATCATGCATTATGCAGCCTCTCACAAGCTAAAAAGATTTTCAAGTTTCATGAAAATTGAGTAAAATATTGATCGGAAAGCGAGTATTTAATCCAGAATACAAAACGTTYGTCTATCTTTGGCCGAGAATGCAACTTTTTTAAGCTAAATATCCAAATCAGTYGGATCGTTAACTGAAAATTTCTAGAAAACGGTCAATAAGGAAATCGCARAGTCAARGAATGAGTTACTCGAAAGTCCAGCAAGGATTATATCATTTTGTAAGTTTTGTAGCTTGATACCACCTTRTGATTAACACCTTTAAGTTTTTTCGGAAAGCTGAACATTTAGTTCAGTCTATTATGGGTAACGGGCGAAATGTAGGTAAGTACTGTGGATCATTTTATCTGTTAATTGCTGAGTGTAATTCATATTTATTTTCAACTTCGTCTGGACATTCATTGTCTGTTCAAGTGAAGTGTGTGCTTTTTGAGTATTGATGGGTAGACAATAGAAAATGGGGCGCCAGTTCGCAGAAAGCAGGTCAGACGGATTATTAATCTATAAACCCTATAACTTGAACTTGAGTTTCGTTTTTCGAGACACAATTAAAGTTTTATTCAGTTCTCTATTACTTGTTTAATCAAATAACTGGGTTTTGGACTGAGTTTATATAGTACCACATATTTTTTTCTTTTTTTTTTCAGGTGGTACAATGCAGCTTTCGGTAAGTTTAACAATACTTTGCCATTATCGGACAGCACGTTGCGTGATCCAGGCCAGACCATTTAGATTTCGCGTTGTTTTCCCGCATGTAAACATTTGGACATTTTTTTTTTGCTAGACGAGTCGTGTTAGGGATTGTCAGGGGCTGGGATTCGTCCGAATAATTGCATTTTTGTTGTTTATTGCATCATTGGAAGATACAAAAATCTGATGTTCCATTTTGAAAAGAAGTTAATCGAGGTAAAACAGAGGTTAACAGAGTTATGCAGCAAATTTCTACGTAAAAAAGCTGTTTTTCCAAGGAGAGTTACTTATGTACTGATTTATATGTTTATAACAGCATAATATTCACAATATGCGTGTCATTTGCGTTGATGTTTTCCATCATTCAAAGTATTTATTTTCTTAAATTGTCTATGAAATATGAAAAAACGGGGCGTGGTCATGACTCTCTTTCTGGATCCGCCCTTGAAAGTTACAGAAGATTTTTGAGATATCAAAATGTATCAGATAACCGTTCATAGAAATAGGATAATTGAGTCTTGTGAGATAATACACAATACTGGAAAATTTTAATAAAGTACGGTATTCTACGGGTTTAAATTAATATTTTGTTGATTGTAATAAATTTAATATTGATATTAATAACTACTGTTTTAATCATTATCAATTTTTCAATTTTAGGAATCAATTAATTATTATGCAAGAATCTGTTAAAAATCACTTAAACTGTAGCATCGCGGAAACTGTTCTGGATACTGGAGTTTTTATACTAGATCCCACAATTAACAGAAACACAGTTATGCGTCGAATGGAATGACCAGCATTTTAGGCCATGTCTCTATATGAACTGTGGTATTGAATTTAGTTCAGGATTCACTTATTTCGTTTTGAATATCTATTTTGGCTCACCCTGTATATCAAGGCAAACGTTCTATTCTTAATTGAGAAATTGTCATAGACCTCCATCAAATGTGAAACCCCTTGTATAGATAGGATATTTTTTATAACTGGATGAACAAATATTTTATTGCTCTTGCACATTTTTCACTATCTTCAGGCTTCAATCAGTTGCATTTTTCATGCAAGTGATTATTTTAAATGTACCTATGCTAAAAAATGGACGACTTTGTGTTACCACTGGTGAAAAATGAGGATAGCATTTACAAATAAAGTATACAATTGTTGGAATTGAAAACTGTTTTCGATTTGAATGCTGAGGTCAACGTTTCGGGCATTTTGAGTGATCTAGAAAGCATCAGGGTCCTTTGAAACGACGTAAAATGTCAATTCATAGATAGGAGAATAAAATGTTAAAGACAAAAATTATCATTAATAAAGTAACACAACACGTGACGTTAAAAATAAAAAATATAATAGAATAGTACCATGTAAGTTTTGTAAAGGCATTAATAGAATCATTGAATTCTAGAGAGACTCATTTAAAAGTAAAGAATGATGGCGTCATTTTTAATAGGAAATAGGCTGACGACATTTTTGAATTTGAATGTGTTTCTGAACCTAATTTTCAGATATGCAACTGATTAAAACTTGTTAATTTTTTTAAATTTTTTGACTGTGATTGGTGTCATGAAATATTATGTTTATTGTTATAAGGGCACAATCGTATTTCTACTAAAATATTTACATTTGTTCTTGTCATTTTGAAATCTTACCTTTATTCTGTTCTTGGTGAATTCATTATTTTCTAATGCCCCTCATAAAAATAAAATTTTATACTGAGAATAGGTATTGTTAATTTTATTATTATCTTGAAATAATATAGTAGGTACTTTGTATTTTTAATTGTATGCGTTTGTAGTGATCATTTTAGTCTCAATTATTTAATCTACCATTTTGTACTATTGTGAAACTTAGTTTAATACGCTTACTTCTAAAAGTCCTTTGTTCCGTTAGAGAGCCTTGATGGTAGATAGTTATAATATAGCCAAAACGTTGACCGTTTAAAATGGAGATTTCCCGCAATCTTGAAAAACATCACCATTCTTGTATCAACTTGCACATACCACCGGCACTAACAAACTCTTTATTTCTTAGGAAAAGTCACATGGATATTTAATTATGATTTAATGATTACGCCAGATAACTACCAAAATTTTACTTATTTGCCTTCATATTATTTAAAAATTCCAAATCAAATTCATT